GGTTAGAAACAAAAGACCAGAAGAAATTCAAGCTTTGTGGCACTTTGCCATTTGTCTGGCATGTTTCATAGTTACTGCCTCTCCACTGCTATGCTAGTCCCCAAGTGTTTGGAATTACAGCAGCAGCGGTGCCAAAACCTGAATGTCTCTATTACCGTCCTCTCTGAACACAGCACGCTGTCCAAGTGTGCCACTGTGTTTCGCCCTCAGTGAGCTGGGCAGTCACATGTACTTTGCCGGTTCAGTGATTTTGGTAGTACATGACATTTTCTAAATAGAGGCTTTTAAAGGGCTAAACTGGCATGAAACTTGACCACAAAATCCCTGATTTTTCTGTATTTTGCTCCTGACATAAGTGATCAGATAATCTAATTTTAGTATAATATCAGCAGTTTGGGAGAAAGTGTGAATGATTCTCATTCATTTGAAGTCTCAGAACTATTTGCGTTAAATGCTAAGAGCAGTCTGGTCTCTGTAAAAGAGACAGGAGGACTTTGACTTCATCTTAGATTAGCAGTGGTTACTCCCAAACAGACTCATGCAGCTACCATTGCTTTGCATCAGAATGGCCTGACATGCAGGCAGATTGCTGCTGAGAATCTTGCACCTTAAAGAACCACTTACTGAATCATCAAAAACTTCAAAGAGAGAGGTTCAGCTATGGTGAGGGCCTCAGGACACCCAAGACTGTCCAGCAAGCACCATGACTGCCTGTTTCTGAGGAATCAGCCAGGGAATCGTGTTGCCACCAGTGCAGAGCTTCCTCAAGATTGGCAGCAGGCAGGTGTGAGTGCTGCTGCACACACGGTGAGGCCAAGATGTTTGGGCAGTGGACTGAAGTGCTGGAGGGCAGCAAAGAAGCCACTTCTCTTCAAGAAAAGCTTTAAGGACAGGCTGAAATTCTGCAGGAAGTACAATAATTGGGCAACAAGACTGGCACACAGTAATTTTCTCTGGTGAGGCGCCCTTCCAACTGTTTGGGACAACAGCAAGATCGACTGTCCAGAGAAGAAAAGGTGAACGCTGTCACAGGTCCTGTGTCGTGCCAACGGTGAAGCATCCCGAGACCATCCATGTGTGGGCTTGCTTCTCTTCCAAAGGAGTGGGCTCACTCAGGAAATTTTCCAGATCTCAGTCCAATTGAGAATCTATGGGTGATCATCAAAAAGCGAGTAGATAAGCAGAAGCCCACAAGTTGTGATCAGCTCCATGCACTGATAAGGCAAGAATGGGACCCCATCAGTCAAGAGATGGCCCAGAAGCTGATATCCGGCATGCCAGAGCGAATTTCAGAAGTCCTGACAAAGACGGGTGAACATTGTAAATACTGACTTTATCTATAAATAAATCTGATTTATTATCAATAAAAGTCTTCAAAACATACAAAATGCTTATAATTGTTTTCCCTCATGCCCCAGAAACGTGTAGAAAGAAAAACTTAAGCAGCAAAGTTTGAATCACTGCCAAAACCTTTGGCCATGGCTGTAGCTGTCTCCCTTTTCTTTGTTTTCATCACTTTGGTTCTTCTTATCCCAACTGCTGCTTCATCTGTGACCGTTGTGGCCCTTCAGCCCCGCTGGGTTCTGTTCCCAGTAACTACTCCTTCCTGTCTCAGCTGTTTGGCCCCAGGTTCAGGTTGTAAATTTGCACTAGTTAAACACAAAACTCTAGCTTCTTTACATAGTGACTGTTAAGCCCAAGTGAGAGCTGAATGGGAGTGTTACACGGGGCACAGCGGAGCTTTTCAGAGTATAACTTTTGATGTTTTATGTCAATATTTACAGGTTACACAAGCCACAAATCAGATTGTGATGAACTGTGCTGACATCGACATCATCACGGCTTCCTTTGCACCACAGGGAGGAGAAGGTGAGGGTCAGACTTCGTCTGCTCTTTCCCCTGTTCTCAGTAGAAATGTAGCTGTCTCCTTTGATCTCATCTCTGTTTGGGTTAACATCATTTAAAATTCATAATGGGTAGTTGTCTGTGCCCTGCCACTCGCCTCATTGCTTTATTCCTCTTAATGCTTTTTTCCCTTTTAGAAATTAATGCCACAGGATTCAACTATCAAAATGAGGATGAGAAAGTCACTCTGTCCTTTCCTAGTGCTCTACACACAGGTGAGAAGGGACATAGTTGTCCCACTTTTGAAACATTTATTATCACTGATGTTTAAGAATAACAGATTGAAGGTCGAGGCTGAACGATCAGTGCAACTCTCTCTGTGTGCTCCTCCCCAGGCTCCGGCATGTTGAAGATTGACTTTGTCGGGGAGCTGAATGACAAAATGAAAGGTTTCTATAGAAGTAAATATACAACCCCTGCTGGAGAGCCCCGCTACGCTGCTGTCACACAGTTTGAGGTGAGTCAGTGGCCTTAGGGACACAGGAGTTTTTGCTGCCTGTTGCTTAACCTTCTACATGCCGATGTTGCAATATAGGGTGTGGCCATGTGACTCTTCTTGGTATTCAGAGCAAACATCAAAAGTGTCATAAAGTTGAGGCAGTATCTCACATTTCATTCTATTTATGCATACAGTATGTTTTGACTGCTCCATTTAGCGTGGTTGAGCACAGAAATGACAATCGCAAGCTCACTAAACTGTCTTTCATGGTGGTTACTACACAAGATGAAGATGGACCTCTAGGTACAGTTTTCACATGTATTGCTCAGTGATGAAATGGGTTATGACAGCCTGGCTACCTAACGTTAGTTTTAAATCAGCTTATTGTTGAAGTGTTATGGTTTAAATGTTGGGTACTTGCTTCAAAAATAGTCTCCAAGGTTACACAGTTATTATTGAGCTGGATGTTGACGTTTTCACATGGCCCAGTTTTGGTCTGCAGCCAGGAGTTTGCAACCACTGCAGTGTTTCCCACAGAATTATATTCTAATTGTGGCGGTGGCTCGGACTTGGGGTGGAGGGTCATGCTTTCATAATTAAAAAAAAATTAAATATAGTAACGCTATAGTGCAGTTCATCTGACCTGTTCCTTCAGCACTAGCTCGCCCATAGCAGCAGTGTCTTGGCTGCTGCCCTCCTCCTACATCTGTCTCTGGTTGAAACCAGTAAATATTCAACACAAATCAGTTGGATCCCCAATCACACTGATAGGATTGATCAACATTGCTACATGTGATTTTTAATGTTCCTGGACTGGCCAAACATTCAGCGTCCGAGTTTATGAACTAGCATTAACTTTATCCACTTGCAGATCAGCAAGTTAGCTTACTAACTTACTAACTAGCTTAGCCAGCCTCGCTAGCTTGGTAATAACATATTAGAAGAGTTGGATCTCTGAGACTGACAGCGTTATGTTTAAAAAAAACAAAACAAACAAACATGGAGAGAGAGGAGGGAGCGAGCAAATGCATTTGCCATGCAAAGTACTGCATTGAAATTAGATTTAACCTGTTTTAAATCAGTATGTGGCGGTCTGCCACAAATAAATCAATGTATGGGAAACACTGCACTGATCTCGGGGTGTCTGCAGAAATTCAAGTTTTCTCAAAAAAAGGTCTTAGAAGGCATTGCAGAGCCTTGGCAGGTGACTGTGCACAAAGCTGTTAAATCCTTTGCTGTAGTGTTTCACTCAGCACCATTAGACCTGCCCTTGCTGCTGCTTTCTACAGCAGCAAGAAGATTGAAGAGTTTTAACTTCATGCAATCAGGGTAGGTAGGCTCTCTGAGAGACCACCTCTCTTTGGCAGGAACGCCCTGAATGCCTTCACACAGGTATATGTTCACACCTGGAATCTGCCCAGTACAGCCACAGTCTGAGCTGCTGGTCACTGAGCAACTCCACTGGAGTAGCTGGGGATAAGGGCACCACAGTGGTGTTGAGCAGGGCAGGCACTTTGTCACCTGTCCTGAATGTCTGGGACACTGAACCAGCACCACTTCTCTCAGCTTTAGCCCACCACTGCCCCAAATATCAATTTTAGCCAAAATTCACAGTTTTTAATTCGAGCAGCCCTCCACCTGCTTTCTGCTGCTTATTTCTGTCAAGGCCATTTTAAATTGACTAGTTTTATTATTAATAACTATAGTTATGTACAGCAGGAAGTACTGATAAAACTGTCAAAGTCCATTAGTGAATACACAGTAGTCGGCCTTACTGTGCCTGCTGGTTTCTGTCATGCTTTGACTGGTGTTAGATTTCATTTCACATGGTATTAAAAGGTCTTACATTTGGCGACCATTGCAGGAAGCCCGTCAAATGCACATTTAACACCAGTGTTAATAGACCTGAAGCACGATTCTGACTGAAGGTTTGAGCTGAGCTAACCCAGCTAAGGCAAATGCAGTTTATTCCAACAGTGCTGCAATAAATCCTCATCATAAAGGCCGAAGGTTATTGCTGCACTTTTTTTCTGTTCCCTTGAGAAGCTGTCTTTAGATAAAATAGGAAATGGAGGAGAGTCTGTTTTAAACGATTTAACCTACCTGTCAAATCAGGCTGTGGTGTATCACCATTACCATGAAGCAGTGCGGCACAGTGGGCTGCCACTGGTCCGAAGATCCGCTGTGCTTGCAACAACATAGTTAGAAGATAGACTGTGTCGAAAGGTAAACATGTTTACTGCTGCTCCAAGGTGGCCTGAAAAGCCAGTTGTACAGAGAAGGACAGTACTTCTGACTGATTCATGACTGCAATGAGTGTCTCCCCAAAGGCATTTGTAGTGTTGCACTCATTTGTCCCTCAGAAAATGACAGAAGCGGTTGTGTGAGGAATGGAGAAGAGCTCGAGGGAGGAACTGAACGTTCACCCCACTGCTTCAATACTTTGATAATTACACACTTGGCCAGTCGCTGCATGCACTGGGCATGCTCTTTGGTTTTGGAAAGAAAAAAGCATAAATTATCAGAGGAAGCGTTTCCAGTGTAGATGGTTTCAGTTTTCAGTTTTCCTAAGTGACGATGAAATGTATAGAAACATGTCTTGATTCTATTATGACGATTATTAACAGCATAAAAACGAATGATGATAAAGAATAATTCAGTAACTCAACACTGAGTGTGTAGTAGTCTCATCAAACTTTAGGAGAGAAAGAAGTAGCGATTACGGTGACTACATGGAGGCCCAGACGGTGTAGGAGACAGGTGGATGCTGTAACGTCTTGCCGTGACTGGTCACCAGCAGGACCAGTCAATCTGGGAAAAATGAACAGCAGTTGTGCTCCAAGGCTGGTTAGTCGATAAAATCGTTGGCTCCTGGCTATTCATTAAAAAGGAAATGCTGCAGATTCCAGAGTTCACTTTGATGCCTTTTGCACATCAGCGATGAAAAACAGCTTAGACACATACCTGGCACAGAGTGACATGCTCAGGCTGCAGTGCCGCGGGGGAAGAATAAAGGGTCAGATATAAAACCTCATGGTGTAATGTGACAGCTGTTGCATCTCTAACCAAACAAAGTCCACAATTAGATTTTACAGTACATCTAAAACACGGCAAAGCTCCTCATCAGTCCATAAACTAGGTGGTTGCTTTCCCCTCTGTATGTTTTGCTCACTCATATCATTCACCTTTTTCTTTCCCAGGTTTTAGTCTTTGTGTAGTTATGTCGAGGGTCCAGCAGCCTTCTCCTGCAGCCCTACCTGCCTCTGTGTCTGAGTGCTAATGTTTGTTTAGCATTCACAGACTCGCACTTAAAATTGAACAAGAGCAGGCAGGTGAAATACGATCACAACCGGTGGAGACACGTTTCAGATGGATTTTAGTGCCGAGGCTAGTCTGCGGTTCATCTGGATTCAACACACCAGGTCTCAGTTTGTGTCCTCTCTCTCTCCGCCCCCCTCCAGGCCACGGACGCCCGCAGAGCCTTCCCCTGTTGGGACGAGCCAGCTATCAAAGCCACCTTTGACATCACTCTGATAGTTCCCAAGGACCGAGTAGCCTTGTCAAATATGGTACGTGTCATGTGTTCACTGCTCCGTTTGTCTGAATCACATTCTGCAGACAGGTTGTGTGCATGTGTGCTCAGTTTGTGTTCCTCCTCACAGAGTCGCACAGGAGCCACAGCCAACAACCCTCACAGCTTGATTTTCTTAGGTCTTACCCCTGTGGCTTGTCCCTGCTTGGCATAGGGATGTTTGTGAATGTTTCAATCAACTGGGAACAACTGAATGTAAAAACTACCGCCCAGTCCCCAGCGGAGCCTTGTCAGGGTCGAGTCTCCATAGCATCGTCAGGTCTCCTCTGTCGGAGGAGGAAGCCTTCTCCTTCCAAACCAGATCCCCTCACTGTGTCCAACCCACTGTGTCGTCCTCATGAAGCCATTCAGTGACCTAGAGCTGCAGCCACGAGTCAGTTCAGTGGTAGAAAAGGTTCTGGTTCCACCTTCTTTAATGTGAGGAGCTGATGCTTTTCTTTGTCAGACATGAGAATCAGCTGAGTCTCTGTGGATCTGCTGGTTGGACACAACAAGACGTGTGGAGACGCCACCTTTGGCTCTGGAGAGTCACTGTGGGACTTTTTCCCAGTGTCTGATATTCTGGGGATAAACAGATCAGTCATATCATCAGGATGATGATCAGCTGATTGATCAATGGCCCTGCTGTTTGGATTTGCACTCAGTTATTCAGGGTTTTCTTTTCGTTTGTCGCCTGTCTGTATCTCCTCCCACTGAGCCACAGAGCTCCACTGTGGAGCTTTTCAAACCCATCAGTGATCACACTGTTGCACTGGGGCACATGTTCCTTCATCACCATGAACAGACACACGCTGTAGTTTAGTTTGACACCGTCCTGCTGCCATTGTCCCTAGAGAGACGATGGCACTGAAAATAGTCCCTAACAAATGTAATTCTTTTTGAATTATGTTTGCTAAAAACATCCATGTCCACAGACATTACAGGACAACGCAGAGTGGGACTGACACATTGCTGGTTTGGGTCTTTTTAGTGACAATAAAAAACCCATCCTGGTTGATTCCTAATGATTGTGGTGACCTGCTAATTTTTATTACAGCCCTGCCAGTGGGCCATTTCCATTTGCACAAAAGAAATGTGAAAAGCTAATGGGAAGAACACCATTAGATTCACCTAGGATATTTCTTCTCTCCACAGGATGAGCTGTTATGATTTTAAAGAACCCACTGCTACAAAGGCACTTAGAGTAGCTAAATCATCAGTGTTTGTTTGCTCTGCCAGACATCACACTTAGTCATAAATATTTTAGCTTCCAGCAGCTGCTTTAGACTTTCAGTCTTTGTGTTATGCAACGTCCCTGTTAGACCACAGAGACTTTTATAATAGGATGGTGTCAGAAGCTTCTTCTGCAAAATGTTTTCTTTTGGCTTTATGTCCTAACACTTACAGTTCAGCTCTGCCTGCTCACCACGGCCCCATATTGAAGCATTTAACTCCACCTTTCCTCTCTCCAGAATGTCATTGATCGAAAGCCATATCCAGATGATGAAAACCTTGTGGAAGTGAAGTTTGCCACCACACCCATCATGTCCACATACCTTGTAGCTTTTGTCATTGGTGAATATGACTATGTGGAGAGCCAGTCATCAGATGGTGTAACAGTACGCGTCTACACGCCTGTCGGGAAGGCAGAGCAAGGGAGGTTTGCGCTGGAGGTGAGCAAGTTGTTGAAACATTGTTAACTCACAGCAGCAGAGTCACAGGATGTTTTCACCTCTGCAAGAGGAGCGTCACGAGCTGTAAATGTGACTGCAGCAGTAGACAGGTGTATAGGCAGCAGCCAGATTTACCAGTGTTTGTGTGATGGAAGATTTACCCGCTGAACTTCTTTGTTTGAGTCGTTGTGTCTCCATTGTTATGTATTGTTAAGACACAAATGAGCAGAAGTTTTTACATGCTTTGCTAGAGTTTAAATTGGCTTCTATACATTGTTTTTATTGACACTTATTTATGCAGGTTGCGACTAAGACCCTACCTTTCTACAAGGACTACTTCAGTGTCCCTTATCCGTTGCCTAAAATCGATCTCATAGCTATTGCTGATTTTGCAGCTGGTGAGTAACTGTCAACTTGTTAATTTGACACATGTCCACTCAAAGTGCTCAAAGTAACACGCGTGCTCCTTCCTTCCGTTCAGGTGCCATGGAAAACTGGGGCCTTGTTACATACAGGTAAATGTTGGTTCCTTTCTAACTGCTCCTTTTAAATCCTCTTCTATGTGTAATGGAAAATGAGCATCACTATTTACAGAACATTACTACCATTGTGGGTGGTTTTGGAAAACTGGAAGTGAACTTTCAGTCAAGATCACTAAATCTGCCAAAAGCTTAAGAAAAGTTTTCCCCTTCCTTTCTAAAAACATGTCAATGTGTCTTTGGTTGACTGCACTGCTGGGTTTTTAATTGCTTTGTCATAGTTGGATGTGCTGCCTGTGTGTTTGGCCTGTGATTAGCTTAGAGCAGCAGGTTGTCTTAATAAATGGCCCAGCAGCAGCCGTGGACTCTGAATGGCTGATGGAAAGAACCCTGCTGGCGTTCAGATGGCGTGTCGACCTCCTGTCGTTTCTGTGTTAACTTCGGTTTTCTGTCGTCTCGCAGGGAGACGGCTCTTCTCATCGACCCAAAGAACTCCTGCTCGTCCTCCAGGCAGTGGGTGGCGCTGGTGGTCGGACACGAACTCGCCCACCAGTGGTTCGGAAACTTGGTCACCATGGTAACTAGACACGACCCACAGCATAAGAAAGAGGGTTTGCATACCCAAATGAGTAAGATGTTTCCTTGTGTTTAGGTCAGCTCTGCCTTCTTCAGTCTCTTCCAGTTTCATGGTTAAGTCATCTTCACTTTTCACCAACAGTGAATTCAGTCGGACTGTATTTAGAGCACGGTGGCGCAGTGGTTAGCACCGTTGCCTCATAGCGAGAAGGTTCTGGGTTCGGGCCCCACCCGGGACCTTTCTGTGTGGAGTTTGCATGTTCTCCCCGTGCTTGCGTGGGTTCTCTCCGGGTATTCCGGCTTCCTCCCACAGTCCAAAGACATGCAGCTTAGGTTGATTGGTGTCTCTAAATTGCCCATAGGAGTGTGTGTGTGTGTGGTTGTTTATCTATGTGTTATCCCTGCGATGGATTGGCGACCTGTCCAGGGTGTACCCTGCCTTCGCCCGATTGTCGGCTGGGATTGGCTCCAGCCCCCCCCGTGACCCTGTTCAGGGACTAAGCGGTAGAAAATGAATTAATGAATGTATTTAGAGCATATAGCACTTTTCTGCCTTAACGGTTCAACATGTGGAGCTGGGGTTCGAACCACCAATCCTGTGATTGATGGTGGGCGACCCGCTCATTCTCCTGAGGCAGAGCCCTTTTGTACTGCTAGCACTCAGAAGCAACCGGCCACCTCACGGGGAGAAGCTGGAGATTCCCTCGGAAATACGGTGTAAAGTGCAGGGCTGCAGAGCCGGCATAAAGTGGAGATGAAACGGAAATAAGCCATGTTTACCATCTGTCGTTATGGGTAACGTGTGGTCCCTCTCCAGCAAAATGAACGAGCTAACGGGGCTAATGAGACTGCAATGTGAGTACAGGGAGAGCAGCCTGCTATGCTTTACCGAGGCCTGGCTGAACAACAACACTCCAGATTCTGTGGTCTCCTTACAAGGAGTTACACTAATTCTGGCAGATTGAAGCACGGCTGACTGTGGTAAGAGGAAAGGTGGAGGTATGGCGGTGTACTTTAATAACAGATGGTGCAATCCCAGGCACATAACTGTTAAGGAAAGATTCTGTAGCAGAGACATTGAACTATTCGCTATCAGCGTACAGCCGTACTACATCCCTAGGGAGCACTCCCATGTGATTGTGGTGATGGTGTATATTAACTCCCCTAAAAGGCTGCGTGTCAGCGCGCACTGAGCACCATAGCTGGGCTGCAGACACAACATCCACAGGTTTTAATTCTTATCTCGGGGGACTTGAACCATGCTTTTCCTCCCCTTCTCAGCCACCCTCCCAAACTTCACCCGGTATGTAAATTGCCGCACAAGGGACAATAAAACTCTGGATCTAATGTATGCAAATGCGAGGAAGGTGTAAACCTCCACCCCCCTCTAGGTCGCTCTGACCACAACCTTGTTCACCTACTTCCTGTTTATACTCCAGTGGTGAAAAAAGTGTCACCTCAGGTCAGAGTAGTAAAGGTATGGACAGAGGAGCCAACTGAGCAGCTGAGAGACTGTTTTCACACCACAGACTGGGACATCCTCTGCAGTCCTCATGGAGAGGACATAGATGGCCTCACACACTGTGTTTCGGATTACCTAAACTTCTGTGTGGAAAATACCGTCCCGTCCAAGAGAGTACGGTGTTCTAACAACAAGCCGAGGGTGAGCCCCGAGTTAAAAGTACTGCTAAATGAGAAGAGGGCTTTCCTCTCAGGGGACAAGGAGGAGCTGAGCAGGGTGCAGCGGGAACTAAAATACATGATCCGGGGGTGCAACTACAGGAAGAAGCTGGAGCAGAGCATGGAGAATAACAATGTGTGTGAGGTGTGGAGAGGCCTGAAACACATCTTGGGTCATGGTAAAAGTGATGATGGTCACCAGGTCACGGGGGACAAGGCCTGGGCAAATGAACTGAATCTGTTTTTTAATTAATTTGACTCTACCCAGTCCTCAGCCCCCACCCTGCCAGCCCACCTGACTCACCTCTCCAGGTCACTTGTCTCCCTGCAGCTGCAGCTGCTCACACCTCATCCAGACCTTGCCCCTCCTCCCACTGTCACGGGGGGTTCCCAACAGCCCACAGCTCATGAGCAGTCACCGCCCACCTGTCCCCTCAGCCTCACGGCAGACCAGGTCAGGAGGGAGTTGAGGAGGATTAAAGCCAGGAAGGCCACAGGCCCTGACCACATCAGCCCCAGGGCCCTCAGGGAGTGTTTAGACCAGATCAGTGAGGTGGTCCTGTACATGTTTAATCTGTGTCTTAGCCTGGAGAGAGTTCCAGTTCTGTGGAAGACATCCTGTGTTGTCCCGGTTCCCAAAATACCTCATCCTAAGCAGCCGAACCACTACAGACCCATTGCCCTGACCTCCCACCTGCTGCAGTTTGCATACCGTCCTGGCATCGGGGTTGATGACGCTATTATCTACATGCTGCTTTGAGCCCTATCTCATCTGGAGTCACCCGGAAGTATTGTGAGGGTCATGTTCTTTGACTTCTCCAGTGCTTTCAACACAATCCAGCCGTCACTGCTGAGGGGGACGTTGGGGGGGAGCGGATACAGGGGGGTTGTTACTGACTTTGTGGAGTGGTGTGAAGAAAATCACCTGGTCCTGAACACCAGTAAGACTAAAGAGATGGTGATTGATCCCCAGTGGAAATCACCAGCACTCACTCCGGTTAGCTTTCAGGGCTCAGTCATTGAGACTGTGGACACCTTTAAATACCTGGGGGTCCACCTCAACAACAAAATGGACTGAAAACACTGATGCCCTGTACAAGAAGGGCCAGAGCCACCTCCACTTGTTGAAGAGACTGAGGTCCTTTGGCATGTGGGGGGCACTCCTTTTGACTTTTTATGATACTGTGGTGGCATCTGCTGTTTTTTACGCTGTTGTGGGTTGGGCAGGAGGTAGCACGGACAGGGACAGGAAGAGACTAAACAAGCTGGTTAAGGAACTGGGTCTGTCCTGGGCTGCTCTCTGGATTCCATCGAGCATGTGGTGGACAGAAGGATGCTGGTAAAACTAACATCCATCCCCTGCACCACACAGTCGAGGCTCTGAACAGTTCCTTTAGCACCAGACTGTTACATCCCCAGTGTAAGAAGGAGCGTTACCGTAGGTCGTTCCTTCCCACAGCAATCAGACTGTACAATACATTACTGTAGGGATAAGCTAGGTGAAAGTATGAGGGACTATAGTCAACTGAGGTGCAATACTCAAATCCTGGGGTAAAATGCATGGTTAACATGCACATATGTAAATTCTGTTCTTGATTATTCAAATACTTGATTCTGTCTATTTTTGAGTACTTGGAATTTATTTATCAGGATGTGTGTGCGGTGCTTGTTTCTCATGGTTGTTTGTTCTCCATTGCTGCTGAAACACTGAAATTTCCCCATAGAGGAATAAAGTACCTACCAACCTACCAAGTGGTTACCTGGAAACCCCACAGGGCTCCTCACAACATCCAGTTTAACCACCAAAAGCAAAATGTCACAGTCATAGAAAAAGCCCATTGAGGCAAATTTGTGATTGAAACACACAAGCAAACAAAATGAGAGATTATACAAGTAAACGTGTTAATGTGGATCAAATGAACAATGCTAAGCACAGTCTGCGTTGCCGGTGAACAGGCCCCTGTGCTTCATCCTTTGGATTTTGACTTTGGTTCAGTGTGATGTTCTTTACCTCTGACTGACATTACAACAAAAAGTCATAAAAGTCATGATAGAAAAATACAGGTAGCAGAAAGTTTCTAGTGTGTGTGGGGAAAAGGCTTAAAATAAGAAAGAGGAAAAATGTTTTAAATATAGAAACCAGTATTTCTACGGCTCTGGATGTAAGACAGTCAGAACCTAATACCAGAGGTGGAGAGTAACTAAGTACACTTACTCAAGTACATGTGTACTAGTTCTGCTACTTCATACTTCATCTTCACTTTGTACTCGGTACATTTATTTGATAACAATAGTTACTAGTTACGTTTCAGAATAATAAAGTAAAATACAGTATAATCATAAAAGTTATTGATCCTTGGTGTAAGATTCACAAGCAGTAATTCAAATTCTAAGCATATAAAGTAGTTAAACTTAGCTGTGCCTTTACCAGCAGCAACATTAAGTGTGATGAACACAATAATGCATCAGTAGTTATAATTGAATAATATGATGTACACCAAAGTAACCTGTGCCATTTTACATTTGGTACTTTATGTTTTCTGCTAATACTTTTGTACTTTCACTTAAGTGACCTTTTGAGCGCAGGACTTCTGTTTGCACTGTGGTATCGCTGCTTAAGTAAACAATCTGAGTACTGCTTCCACCACGGCCTAATGCAAATTTTATTTTGTGCTTGATTTCCAAACTGCTTTCTGTTGTTATCTGAAGGGGAAGTGTACTGAAGACATCTGTGTAATAGAGACAATGTCGTCCACAAAACTTCCAAAAACATCAGGACACACTGCTTTTTTAAATTACAAATGCTGGTGGAAGTTTATTAATTCATCGCAGGACAATGTGTTTTCTGTCGCATCATCCATTTTTTTATCAAATGACATATATAAGTGGTTTTTAATCTTGTCAACATCTACAGGAATGGTGGACCCATCTGTGGCTTAATGAGGGATTTGCATCCTGGATCGAGTACCTGTGTGTGGACCACTGCTTCCCAGAGTACGACATCTGGACCCAGTTTGTCTCAGCTGACTACACCCGTGCTCTGGACCTGGACGCGCTGGACAGCAGCCACCCCATAGAGGTGAGCTGTGGAGGAGACATTGATGGGAGCTGCTGGCTCGTGGAGTCTGTGGGCCGGACTGTTATGTTCCCCAGGATGCACCATTCTGTCTTTGCATCTGTTGTTCACAAACGAGGGAGTTGTCCTGTAGCAGAACAGAGTTTCTGAGGGTGTGAAGGGCGGGATGAGTTACTGGTTAGATAAACAACAAGGTATGTTATCACTGAGAGTTGGCATCACACTCAACACCTGATTTCTGGCTTTGCACTGTGTGCTGCAGGTGAACGTGGGCCATCCATCAGAGGTAGATGAAATCTTTGACGCCATCTCCTACAGCAAAGGAGCGTCTGTGATCCGTATGTTGCACAACTACATAGGAGACGAGGTTGGAAACTGTCTAATCGCTGCTGACATTGTTTCCTTGTCATGCTCTGTTCCTTAACCTCTGACTCTTCCTTGGTAGGACTTCAGGAAAGGAATGAACGCCTACCTTCTGAAGTTCCAACATAAAAATGCTTCAACAGGTGAGAGCACGCAGGAAATATTCCCCCCAGATGAAGCAGTTGTGTAAATGGGTTTCTTGGGTTCCTACTTCTCTGACGCCCGCTGTCTCCACAGAGGACCTGTGGGACTGTCTAGAACAGGCCAGCGGGAAACCCATCGCTGCAGTGATGGGCTCCTGGACCAAGCAGATGGGCTTCCCAATTATTGTAGTTGACCAGGAACAGGTGAGCGTCACTGCACACATGTGTGTTTGGTGGGCAGGAAGCAAACAAACTCCTCTTGATGTCAGATTCTGGCTTTTTGTTTTCTGGTAGCTGGTTTTTATTTTCCACTCTGGTGCATCTTCTACACACACTGACTATGATGTTATTTATAGCAAGGTGACGACCGCATCCTTAAGGTATCTCAGAAGAAGTTCTGTGCCAGTGGGCCACATAATGGTGAGTGTGTCACACGCTGGCCATGATGTTTTTCACTGAGCTGATGAGTTGATTGACAGAAAAATAATCCGCAACTGTTTTGATAATTATCATTTTGATCATCAACCAATATTAGTCAGTTCTAGCGGTCGTGGCTTCTCATCGGCCCTGTTACGTGTCTGTCAAACAGGTGAGGATTGCCCCAGCTGGATGGTCCCCGTTAGTATTTGCACCAGCGAGGACCCCAGATGCAACAAGCTCAAGGTTCTGCTGGACAGACCCGAGACGACCATAACCCTGAGCAGCGTTGGTCCAGACCAGTGGGTCAAGGTGAGGCCCTGCAACAGTGGGCTGCTGATGTTTCACTCAGGGAGATTTATTTCAGTATTTAATCCAGTACAGTATCAATCTATAAGCAGTATAAACCCCCAGCAGTAGTCACCAGTATACACTCGTTCTGTAGGTAGGGGTGCAGAAATCCTGCTACCAGTTCCAATACCCAGACTCTGGACCTGCCAGTTACCGACCTGAACCTGGTACATAGTGATAGTGATTTTATGTTCCGAGGATGGTTGAGGCACCGTACTAAAAAAAAATCCTGCTGAGATTTTACTTGATGGTGAAAAGACTGAGTGACATTGTTGAAGAAACTGCGTGGACTGGCCCCATACGGCAGCACCAAATCAGCTTAATGTCGGTGCTGTGCCAGTATTGGATCGTTGAATCTCTAAGCAGAGTTTATACAAGCAAGCATGAAATCCTTTGTGTTAATTAGTGAAAATTAGGGCTGTGTATTGGCAAGAATCTGGCAATACGATATGTATCACGATGCAGGGATTATGATTTGATATAGTCCTAGACTTTTCTATTGCTCAGAGTTTCTCAGGGCATTCACACAGTTCAGTCAGTCACATTATGTAATCCTTTATTCTGGAATTCTGGAAGTGTAAATTAGGGCTCTGACAAATGTGGCAAGAACATGAATGGACTCGTTCAAACTTGTGCACATTAGCACAGTTGTGGAGGATTTGCTGTCTTAATTGAAACTTCTCAGGAAGTGAAGTAGAATGCAGTGGATTAAACTTTATGTAGTAGAACCTGATCTACAGAAAATGCCTGCTCTGTTCCTGTGGACCAGCTTGTTGGACCATCATTTGCACACTAACTTCTGAGGTTCCCAGCCACAGTTCAGAGCCACAAATCAACAAAAAAGTTTGAAAGACTAGGGTTTTCTCTCTCGTAATGTTTAACCAGTATTTTTGGAGAACTCACCCACCACCACACACCTGTCGCTGACCAAACCTCCATGCCTCAACACTGCTGTGATGCTGATTCACTCACTTCAGGCTGCTCTGATAATGCCGGGCCGACGCTGTACAGATTTGGCTGATCATGGCCCTGAATCCATCGCCCCCGATTAATTTTAGATTGTTGTTTGACATTAAAAAAACATGTGATCCACGCAGCCGAAGAACACTCGGTCTGAGAGGCAGACGTGGTAAAACTACATTAGTCTGACCCTGCTGTATCCCTGCTGTTTGCAGATCAACCCCGGCACTGTGGGCTTCTATCGTATCCAGTACAGCTCGTCCATGCTGGACAGTCTGCTGCCGGGCATCAGAGACCTCAGCCTGCAGCCCGTGGACCGGCTCGGCCTGCAGAACGACCTCTTCTCCCTGGTGAGGTGGAAACACACACACAGCCCTACTGCTGGGAAATACAACAGTTGTTTCCTTTTTTTTTTCCTTAAGGCAAAATGTAATCAGCTCAGAGTGTCTAGGCACCCAAAGAGCTTTCTGCTCGTCAGCGTGGAAGGAAGTCCACTCCTTTCCAGAGTGAAAAACAAATGTATGGTGCTGAACAAAAGAGAACAGGAAGAGTGGGAAGAGAAAGTGAGCCACAATGGCCCCTTTGTGAAGTGTGGAGACAGGAAGACAAACAGGTGCAAATTTAAGGCAGGTTTATGACTGAAACACTGACACGACAGAAACGTTCGAGGAACAGATTCACTGCAAAGAAGGTTCTTTAATCGACCGTTTTCATTATTGATTTCTTCACTTCAGTGTGTTTGACATTTAAGTTTTGAAGCCGTTTCTGCTTATACGAGCGTCATGACATACGACGTGGCTCTGTGAAAGCCTGTGTAACCAGAGGTGACTGATAAATGTGGAATTTCAAGCATAACTTGGCCGTGTTGTGACAGACTGACTCTTCATTCACACTTCATTCATTCATTTGGTCTGAACACACTCAACTGGAACTTTATAGGTCCTGTTCTTATTTCTCTGTCGCCTCTTTCAGAATAAGAGGAAGCTGTTGGAGTGAACGAGTTATTGTTCAACTACTGTCAGTCTTAAATTGCTTCACTTTTAGTTTCATTACAACAGAAGCCATTTGTGTAACTGTGACCTCGGCCTGACCACAAAACTAAGAGTAACACAACTTAACGTGTTTGGTTTCAGAGGTTTAGTGTCGGATCAGAACGTGCATTTACAAAGACGCTTTAGAGCAAATGTTTTGTTCCTGTGTGGTTCACCGGCAGCTGCAGCTTTTCCTCTGCTCGGGCTCCAAACCTGCACTTTGAGCCTTTTAAAGTCACCACAGAGCAGACTTCACACTGGTCTGCTTTCCTGTAACACGATGGGTTTGTTCCAAAGCACTTTGTTTATTTTAGAGGATCAGAAATGTGAGAAGTGTCGGGTCATGTGCGAGACATGTCTGGACTTTACAGACATGAACTGTTTTAATAATGATAAATTAATTTACAGTATAGAGCTCGTTTCAAAACACAGTTAGGTAATGCTTTATTTTGATATAACCTAATAAGCTGATGAAGGTTTTCCTGTAAAGAACCACGTAGTTTTAGTACTAAGGACAGAAAAATTGAGACAAAGTTTTGAGGCTGCTTTTTTTTAATATATATAATTAGTCCACTGAGTTCTGTTGAATTTATTATTGGCTTCCAGATGCAAGTGCTCAATTTAAACAGCAGTTAATATTTACTGTTTATTTATTCATTAAATGTTATTTTTTGTTTATGCTGATTTGTGAATTTGGAAATGAATTGGACCTGTAAAACCAAAACATGTTACAAACTGCTTTACATTAAGAACAAAGAATGAAAGTATAAAAATCTGGAGCAGAAGTCTAAAACCTGATCATACAATACAAACTCATTAGGAGAAGGTCCTGTGGTAAAGGTGATTTTAAGAAGAGATTTAAAGGAGGATGTGACTGTGTCTGAGGTTACAGCTCCACAGCTGAGGGCCTCGCCCACCATAGGTGGGACTTCGTAGGGAGTCGGTATGTAACTGGGGCCTGCCCACTCAAAGCAGCACCCGTTCTGTGCCTTCAGTCTCGTGCAGGGATGATCAGCACAGTGGAGGTGCTGAAGGTGATGGAGGCCTTCGTCAACGAGCCGAACTACACGGTGTGGAGCGACCTCAGCTGCAACCTGGGAGTGCTGTCCTCGCTGCTGTCCCACACCGACTTCCATGAGGAGATCCAGGAGTTCATCCGGGACCTCTTCACCCCCATCGGCCTCCAGCTGGGCTGGGACAGCAAACCAGGGGAAGGTGAGGAGGGGCTGGATTTCAGATGGTCCAATTCACCTCGGTGTAGGCAAACCTGGAGAGACTGTGGTGTAGAAATGTACTGTAGAGTCACTATAAATGTGTCATACAGTTACTAAGGCATGTCTGTATTATTGTCGTATCCTGTTATTATCACAGTGCAGCACTCGGATATACTTGTCTTGTCAGTTTGTTAATGCTTCTGTGCTTGGTGAAAACTTATTTTGTGATAAAACTCGGATACGTGTGCAGACATACGGGTGGAGTGTGTCTCAGTGACGCGGGCTGAGAGGGAGAGTAGCCTGAGCAATGTGTTTGTGTGGCAGGTCACCTGGACGCCCTGCTGAGAGGTCTGGTTCTGGGGAAGCTGGGGAAGGCAGGACACAAACCTACACTGGAGGAGGCCCGGCGGAGGTTCAAGGACCACGTGGAGGGCAAGCAGGTCCTGCCTGCAGACCTCAGGAGCCCAGTAAGTAGAGAAGGCGTGCCGGTGTTTACTAACGCACACTCTCTGACAGTCCTCATACTTGTCACCATGTTTCATTTGGAGGTTGGCTGCAGTTCCACCATATCCTGTCTAGAAATATACCCAGCATGTAACTTTATAGACCCAAATCATGTTTAAGGGCAGGACCCGTTTGGACCCTAGAGTGTGTCTGTATGTTCACCCACCTTTTTTTAGCATGCAAGTCTCATGTTTTATTGGCAGAGTGTTATCACTTCTTAACATGCAGTGATGGATCACAGACGCCTGTTATGCAGAGCAAACACCATGTTTTTTTATGTTAGTGTTAATTAGTTATGGTCTCCATTTCACTACAGTACCTGGTCCACTGAAAACGCTCTGGGAAACCTGGTCATTCTATAGCAGGACAAACCTAAACCACAGCCCTGGTATTACATGTTTTGAATTACTAGACTGCTCCCTCCGGGTTGGGAGTTAGTTGCTGGCCCAAGTGAAGCAGTTTAAGAATCTCAGGTCTTGTTCACGAGTGAGGATAAAACTGAGCATGAGACTGGCAGGTGGTGAGGGGCAGCAATTCACACATTGTATCAGACTGTCATGGTGAAGAAGGAGCTGAGCTGAAAGGCAAAGCTCTCAATTTACCAGTCAGTCTACGCTCCAACCCTCACCTATGGCCACGAGCGACCAAAGAATAACATCACGAATACAAGCGGCTGAAATTAGTTTCCTTCGTAGAGTGGCCAGAGTTGGCCTTAGAGACAGGGTGCAGAGCTCGGACATCCAGAAGGGACTCGGAGAGAGGAGTCAGTTGAGGTGGTTCAGGCATCTTATCAGGACGCCTCCCTTTGGAGGTCTTCCTGGCACCTCCAACTGGTAGAAAACCCCAGGGCAGAGCCAGAACATGCTGGGGAGATTATATATCTCATCTGGCCTGGGAACGCCTCGGAATCCTGCCAGAGGAGCTGGAAAATGTTGCTGGGAACAGGGAGGTCTGGGGTACCTTGCTGAACCAGTTGCCACCACGACCCGACCCCAGATGAGCAGTAGAAAATGGATGGATGAAGGTGTGGGCCTTATTCAGGGCCTCAGTGGTCAAACACAGGTGAAGTCAGAGTAGAAAAAGTTCATTCCCTTCTGTGTGTGACGATGCTGCTCAGCTGAGCTGCTATGACGACTCTCACTGCTGACACAACTTCTGATTTTACTGAATAACACAAGACCCGGGCAGGTCACATGACTCCACATCAGCTGACTGTGGTGTAGCCTGGGTTCTGTACACTTGCTCTCTACCCTTTGCTGACTGAGTTTTCCTGGGTGTCACATCTTTAGGTGGTGTAAATCTCAGGATGGACCAGACATGGTCTCATGACGAGTTTGTGCACAAAGTGATGAGAAAATAATAGGCCATGAAAAAAAATCTAGAACAGCCAGTAGATTGTTTACTGTTGCCAATGGATTGTGTTGGAGCAGCATATGTCACTGTGTGTATTTGTTTGTCCAGGTGTATTTAACAGTGCTGAAGCACGGAGACAGTGGCACATTGGACACGATGCTGAAGGTAAGACTGTAGCTGACAAGCGGACTGATCGAACTTCATCACCCTAACAGACGCCGTCGTCGTCTCAGGTCAACATTTGTTAATACACGATTCTAGCTGATTCCTGCTTCTCTCTCACGTGCTCATATATGTCTCACATTATCTGTGTTCAGCTCCACAAACAAGCAGACATGCAGGAGGAGAAGAATCGGATCGAGCGAGTCCTGGGCGCCATCTCAGCCCCCGACCTCATCCAGAAAGTTCTCAGCTTCGCCCTCTCGGTACGCATGACCTCATTTAGTGCAAGTCTGGTTTATTTCCTCAGAGGAAATGAAACCAGTGACATGTAAAGTGCTGTTTTTAATCATCCTGTTATAATCATGTGTCCATGGACAAAAAATGACCCAGCGTTTTGTTTTTTTTGTTTTTTTTAGTTGTATTCTTTATCTGTTTGTAGCTCAGGCTGCAGCCAGTGATGGTTTTCATCAGTTAATCTGGAAAATATCTTAATTAAAAACTGTGAAAACTGCCCAGAGACCAACACGACATCTTCAGTGCTTTATCTTTTCTAATCTAAGCAGTGGTCACAGTAAACCAGCAAACTTTTACATTTGAAACCAAAGCTCAGTCAATTTCTGGTATTTTGTTTAAAAAATAACTTTAAAAATTAATTTTATTGTTGTGTATAATTTAAAAAATGGTGCTTTAGAAAAGGATGTAACATTTCTGCTGTGAAATATTAATCAGTGCTGATGTTACTATGTCGGGTCAGGACCTAGAACTTGTTTTGACAAAATATAGTTTAGTTTAATGAGAAACTGGAATTAAAAGCTGTTCAGCTGTTAGAAGTGTGCAGCCCCACTGACACGTTAACATATGATATGCTTTCTCTAAGCAACATGAGCCTTTTGCTCGGTGTGGTGAACATCCAGGGTCAGCACCTGACTGTCTGCAGCTAACTTCTTTCTTCTGGGTCTTGTCCTGAACAGGAAGAGGTTCGACCCCAGGACACAGTGTCAGTAATCGGGGGTGTGGCAGGAAGTAGTAAACAAGGCCGGAAAGCTGCCTGGAAGTTTGTCAGGGACAACTGGGAGGAGCTGTACAACCGCTACCAGGGCGGCTTCCTCATATCACGGCTCATCAAGGTAAAGTCAAAGCTGCTGCTGCTGCTGCTACACGAGCACAGTCTCCTGAAGTCGTGTGTCAATGTGTCGCTGTGAGACTCGTTGCTTGTCCACAACCTCCAGTTATCAGTTAAATGTGCCAGAAGTCCATGTTAGCTGATGATTTGACCATCACTGGGCCCCACAGTGGCTCTGACTGTGCCCTCAGAAACCTGCTGCTGGTTCAGAAGAAACGTGGCCACTGCTCATCTGCTTTTCTCCTTCTGTTCAGCTCATGTGTTTGTTTTTCATTTGTCTTTGCAGCTCACAGTCGATGGATTCGCTATTGACAAAATGGCTGCTGAAGTGAAGGTAAGAGCCGTGCACAGACCTGTGCTCTCCATGCTGTTTGAAACACATTCTGAACTGTAAACTGTCAATGTTCATGGCTTCACTTTGCTGAATTTAGGTGTGTAAACACAATTTAATTCAGACCATTAAGGGGCAGACGGACTTTGCAATAAGTTCTCAGTAACATAGTCCTGATGGGCAACAGCCGCTAAAGCTGTGGCTAACGTGTTAGCAAACGATGGCCACCCGGAATAATGGCTGGCTTGCTACCTTTTATACAGAACATGTAGTATCCTCGCCTTGACCAGACAGATCATCACATCTTTCTGAGCTTTTTGCAGAACATCTCGTCAATTCCTTGACAACCGGTTTGTCTTCTAAGGCGGATTGATCAGACGCTCTAGAACAAACCGGGTGGTTAGATTATGTCCTGTCCATTTTTGTAAGATGACCATCCTTTCGTGAACAGCTGTTTCTTTATGATCCTGCAGAGTTTCTTCGAGAGTCACCCGGCGCCGGCGGCTGAGCGCACGGTGCAGCAGTGCTGTGAGAACATCCTCCTTAACGCCACCTGGCTGAAGCGTGACGCGGACAACATCCACCACTATCTACTGCAGCGTAAAGCTCCCCCAGTCTGAGCCTCCGCTGCCTCCTCCAGCTCCCTCCCCCCTCCCTCCAGTGCGGACCTCCCAGCATCATAGCGGCCTCGGCCCCCTCTCTACAGACCGGAGCAGGAGACCACAGCGTACTTACAGCAGGCTTCATTTCTCTACAGAAACTGTGTGAAACAAGAAGACAAAGCCAAGAATTTAACAGTGTTGGACACACAGAGACGTTAACAAAGCAGAACCCATTGTTGTAGTCAGACCAGGGATGTAGTTTTAGCCCCAATCTGTCCACGAGCAGACAGCTAGCAACGTTATGCAGTCGGTGCTCGGCAGAGACGCACAAACACACTTCACATCACCTGCCCTGTATGCACCTCTGTGTCATGGGTCAGAAAACTGTGAATCCCACACACACACGCCCCACACCCCACTTCAGAGGGGTCATTGTTTTTCTGCTGCCACTTAATGTTGAATGCATGAAGTGTGATTTTCTGCATTTGCTCCTTTGTCTGTTTTCTGCAAAAACAAATGATTTCTTCTTTGTTTCCCTCCCCCTCTCAGTTTGCATACATATACCACCCCTCCTCCTCTTTCAGGCATTGTGACTGGGGGAAAGCTGAAGGCACCTGAGCAGACTGGGGCTAATAACAATAGCGTGTGTTGTAGTTTCCAGTGGCACTGATTTTCCATTGCTAATAAACGGTTAGGACGAGGCAAGCAGCGCTAGCATGGTACTACATTGTAAACTGTATAATGCAAGCATTTTTTTTCTTTTTGCAGACGATGTTCCTTTAAAAGAATTAAATAGAAACGTTTATGGTTACCTGTTCCCACTTCCCCCCAGACCCCTCAAGCTCTGTTCACTCAGACTCTTTGAAATAATCTAAGTATATTTAAACCGGTTTCTTTATCTGCCGCCTTCAATGAAATGGAGATATTGGCGTGTTTTTATAAGACATCAGATGCTGTGATTTATTTAAATGTTGAGATATATTCTAAGGAAAGGGAAAAGAAGTCACAACTACTTTTCGGGGCCTTTTCACTCTGTAGTAACATCAGGAAACGCCTCTGTGTAGGGTGAGAGTCCAGTGAAGCCCGTCTCAACTTCGTGGACTTGGACTCTGTTGTCGAACTTGGAGGCCTTAAATTGGTCGACTGGTTTGCGGTAAATATTAAAAACTGAAATGCTGATATTAGGTGACTTCCACATAATGTCAAATGTATCTTATGTGACAGGTTATGCAAACTTGTTGAACAAGTATATCTACATTTACAATTTGATGTGGTTTTTGAAAAATATACCAACCAAGTCATCCAACCTGTTGTCGAGACACTTTCCTTCCTGGAACATTTTTAAAAAAAATTCTTTTTGTTTGTTTTTTGTTTGAAACTATAGTTGGTGGTCATTAAAATGAAAATGGATCATAAAAACAAATTATGTGAAATCAGTACATGTTGATTTTTATGAGTGGTTTAAGAGTGTGCATGTCTAGAAACATTTGTTTTAACTATTATCCATCCGGACAGGTCACCAGTCTAACACAGGGCTGACATGTGGACAACTATTGTTGTTGTTGTTGGGTGTAGTGAGCAGGAGTCGCCACTAGGTGGCGACAATGACCGGTTTCTTGGTGGGTTGGAGGCAAAGAAAGCGTAGAGGAAGTGAACTTTATTTCAGCAGGTTGCTGTTCTGGCGAAGATGCTGGGTGTGAAATGACAGCTGTGTCAGTAAGTGAAGCGGTGTGTTTTCGATGCTAATACTTGTTTAATAGTCGGTTTTTACATTAATGAATAACTTTTGTCATTGTGCAGCCTCTTTTCTTAAAAACGAGGGGATTTGCATGAGACTGAATAAGCTAGCAGCCACGTTAGCAGCGTGTTAGCCAACTAGATGAACTGTGTTAAGAAGCTACGTAAGTAGCTAATTAGCTCAAGCTAACGACTGTCCTGTTTCTACCAAGCAACTTGTGGCAGGTATATTATAACCAAATACTTGTTTTCTTGGCCGTTGTTCATGTTGGTGCTGTACAGGTGACTCGTTAGCTGTTGAGATTAAGATCAGTTTTATTGGCCAAGGAACAAACAAGGAATTTGTATATTGTACAGGATCGAGCAGCCAATCTACGGCGCCAACTCACACACACACACACCGATGGCGGCACTGTCCCTGCAAGGCGCTGCCCTGGCCATCGGGAGCCACTTAGGGTTCAGTGTCTTGCCCGGGGACACTTCGACATGTGGACTGGGGAGACCGGGAATGGAGCCGCCGACCTTCGCGCTACCGCCCGAGGCGCAGCCGCCCCCGCATTAAACTCGAAGGCAGCGATAGGATATCGAGACTGTTCAGGTCATTTAACCTAACGTTAGCCTCGACGTTATGGGGTGGACACGATCATTAGAACACCCGTCAACATAAAGCAGCGCTATCCGGCCCCAACAAGAGGACGTTTTAATCTTGTGCTGACGAAACAAACTTGTTCCACATCAGTCACCCAGAACTCAAAGTGACCTCTTCACCTGTTTAAGTTTACTGTCGTTTAAGACGATTAAGAAGTACAACTCATCACAGTTAAGAAGCAGAAACCGTATAATACTTGGGTGGTGTTCACATGGAAAATGACCTAATGGAATAATCTGTTAACCAGTCACTGGTTAACATTATATTTGCTGTTGGGTAGATTAGCCTAATATTTTACAATGCGTCATGTACTTCTTATCTGATACAGAAGATAAAGTGTCCTGAAATGGAAATCAAGTAAAATTATGACTGTAGTTGAGGGCAGTACTCTGGTACATGTAGCTGCTGACTTTCCACCACTGCAAAGGTCAGACTGCAGACTTGACTGAGCAGGTTATTTTTAACTGTGTGAGGGGCTGTCAGTCACCAGTTTGTGTTAGACTCTGCTTTCATTCAACTGACGCCCGGTGAAGACGGACAGGCGGCACAGCAGGGCCCAGAGCTGAAAGCAAACGTTTGGACTACAGTGACAGGTTAAAGTAAAAATACTTCACATTAAACCTGCTCACAAACATGAGCATAAAAGTTATTCATCAAATTAGTACTGACTTTTAAATGTCTGAGAGCTCCAGAGGTTGCTACCAACGAACATTAGGTAACTTGTGCCGACACATTTCCTGTTAATGATTGACTCCACTGACACTGTGCTACTTAAGTCGATCACTGATCTTCACACACTGAACCTTATTTATAGCACTGATCTGAACAGTCAGGGAGCTAACACATCATCACACTACTGGGATTTGTTCACATGCACTATGGGCCAAATGTTTGAGATCACCTCCATGTCTCCAGTTGTTATCAGTGTAACTCAACAGGTGAACACACCTGTGTCATTCCTCCTACAGCTGGTGGGACAGACAGCACTGCTAGAGAAGTTCCCACAGATGTGTTGCACCTGTACATTGCTTTGCTTTCACTCTTCATATAGAAAGTCTGGACCCTTCGCTGCTGTTCTGCCGTCTTTGTCCTTTCCTTCTCCACAGCCTGGAGGTGAAACCCTGAAAAGCTCTGACTTCCTTTGTTCATGGCCTTCTTCCAGATGATGCTTCAGATGCTGTAGTAACAGTATTTTCCAACACTGCCTTCATACAGACAGAATATGCTGTTGTAGGTCATCGACAGAAGTTGTAAGAATTGTTTGCATCACTTGTCAAGGTTTCATTTACTTCCACTGCTGCAGGAATGATGGACATTTGCCTCTTACTGGATCCCTGAAAAAGTCCTGTTTTATATGACAGTTGCACACATTAATAGTTTTCAGTGACTGACAGTTTACTTCTTAGCTTGGTACCATTTGAACTGCTTGCATGTCAAAATAAAAACTGCAAAATCAGGGGTGTCCTCAAACTTGTGATCATTATTATATGTTTCACAAGTAATAGTAACAGTAGAATCTCACAGCTGTTAATCAGATGCTCGCCCTGTTTTCCAGGCTGTCGGGTGTCATCCAGTCTGTGACTGACTGACAGATGCCTTCACCATGATGCTGAGCTGCAGCGCCCTGGTCGTCGCCCTCCTGCTGTCCCAGGCCAGAAGCTTTCTGAACCCCTTGGAGGATGGCATTGTTCCTGAGGAGTGGGTACTGCTCCACGTGGTTCAGGGCCACATCGGGGCTGGAAACTACAGTTACCTGCGCCTCAATCACGATGGGAGAATCATCCTGCACATGCAGAGCCTCAAGGGAGACGCGGACCTGTACGTGTCAGATAAAACCCTGCGGCCAAGCTTCGACACCTACAAGCTGCAGTCGGCCACCTGTGGCCAGGACGTGGTGGTGGTGCCGGGGGACTTTGCGAGGCCTGTGGGTATCGGTGTTTATGGACACCCGTCTCACCAGGAGAGCGAGTTTGAAATGCGGGTGTTTTACGATCAGACAGTGCCCCAGGACCCATTCCATAAAGACTTGTACACCTCAGAAGATGGACACAAGCCACCGAAATCTCCTCAGGCAACGGACGAGGACTTTCAGGAAGAGGAGTCGATCTTATGGACAATTCTCATTGGACTCTTGAAAATTATACTTGAGATTTTGTTTTGATGATGTGAAAAGCTTCCTCCTGCTGTGACAGGAGGAGGAGATTGTGTTCTTGGCTCAGTCAGCTGACAAAGTAAAGAAGATTATTTGCATTTCTCCGTCAGGATAAGAAAAGGTCGCACCAAACTCCAGTGAGATTTCTGCCGTTTTAACAGTCCGGTGTTTGTGATCAAACATTACAGGTTAAAGTGTTGAGTACATACTGTACGTCTCAGTGGATGGCTGGTGTGCTGAATTCACCAGTGAAGCCCGACCAATCAGAAGCTGCTTCACAGATTCTGTATGTTTGACCATAAGCTAATGTTATAGATGTATTATGAGAGCTGGATATGGCGCCGCCACTGCTCAGCCAGTTTTTCCTAGTAGCCACAGCAAAAAAATCACCCTAGGGCCCTAACAGCATTTTCTCCATAGACCACAATGATGAAAGTCGTGTCTGTAAAGCTATTGACAGGACACCTCAAACTGCAAACCAGGTCTGTTATCACTGTTCGAATTATGATTTTTAATGCATGAAGGTTTAATGTCTGTAAAACATTCCCAGACCCTATAAAGCAGAGTTTTATGTTAGTGATGTCACCACTTTGTGAAGTCTATGGGCTGAGCAGGAGGGCAGGGAAAACAAATGATCATGTGCAGTGGGCCGCACAACGAGGAAGCAAACCTGGAAGAAAAAGGTTTTTGGAGTATGCACCATGACAGTGGGAAGACGTGGCACCATCTTGGAATCCAGTATCCTGTTCTCATAACACATCCATGGCTAATGTGCATTAGCCTGCCAGATTTAGGGTGTTATTGGCTTTGGTGTCTGCTCCCGGCGTGAGTCTGTGTGCAGTTCGACTAAAGGGGGAGAGGGATATGTCTGGAGTCTGCTGGGGCACTTGGCGGGTTTTTTCAGTTAACACTCACATGCACATATGTAAGTTTAAAGGTTGCTGTAAACATTCCACCTTTGCATACTGGTGGTGAACTGGTCCCTTCTAAAGCAACTACTCTGTAAAAGATGGGGAACAAAATTTGCAGTCCTTGTTTTGTGCACAAATGGAATCTTGAAAATTAATTTGAAGCTGATGTGAAGTGTTGTTGATCTGAGGCCTCAGTGTGTTTCAGATGAGCTGCATCTGTGTGTAGAAGCTCACCGCTGCGCTGCCTCCCTAACCTGTCTGTCTTGATGAACTGTATAAATGGAGGTACCAGTGCACACTCTCCGACAGACTCTCCCTGAGGGTGTCGCTCCTTTGGAAAAGACAAAACACATCTGGGTAGCTCAGTTCTGCCTGTTTCTCAGGACGCACACCTGGACAGTCACTGCATACAAGTGGCGCTTTCGGAGAGTTACCAAAGTTGTTGAACATGTTGAAAAGAGCAGCAGACGTTTATGTTTATGTGAAGGATGCTGAGACCTGTTGCTGTGGGTGTTTTAAAGTTAGTTTCATCCGTCCTTGCTGATCTGTGGTGGTTGCATGTGTGTTTGCTGGGACAGAACGGTAAACCTACAGTACACAGGCCTCTGTTAGCCTCAGCCACTAACAAAGGACTGCAGTGTTGTCTCCAGTCATCTACATTGCATTCCCACTTCTACAGCAACCAAATCTATATAACGCGTGTGATTGTTGGGTGAAGGTAGACTATAAAAAGATGAGCGCTCACCTCAGCCTGTGAGAAAATGAAACCACTTGTCTTAACTCTGCACGGCAGCATCACACAGGATGTGAACAGGTTTATTTCAGACATTAAAATGAACCATGCAGCCACTGGGCCCTGACGTTGTTGGTCAGGAGGGAAAGGTTTACAAAGATGATGGAGCTTTGTCGAGCTACACTGATATTCACCAGGGCAGATTGTGAAGTTTGATGGAAGTCACTGAAGGTAAAGATGCTGCTGAATATGTTTTCATGTTTACGGGATTATTTTTACTTTGGGCTCCAAATGAGACCATCTGGTTTGTGCTACCAGCCTGTTAATGTCAGTAGCAGTGTTTCATTTGGTTTGGTCATTCGTTAGTCGTTTGCTGTTGGATTTAAACATCGCCTCCAGTGTGGGAGTTCACTTCTGAGTAAACTTGTCACCACCGAGCAGAAATGTTCAGCAGTGCCTTCAGATCAGTCGTCTGCTGGTGTTCCCCGGACGATTCAATCAGGTTTCTTAATAAAGCAGCTGTTTTTCAGACTGTTAAAAATCTGCTGTGGGTCTTTTCTTTCAGAACTGATAAAGTGAAACCTGGAGAAGAGCGACATCAGGTTGGCGGTTTGACTCTGAGGGGAAGCTGGGAAAATGGTCTTCTCTTCCTTAAAGGATGTTTTTAGCTCCTGGAGCTCAGGCTGCCACCGACAAACCATTAGCTCCACTAGCGACTCTTGTTTAGTGACCAGTGTGTGTGAAATAACAAAAAGGTGAAAATATCCATCAGTCTCTGAAGCCCAAGTTAACGTTTACATTTAATCTTCAGTCTGAGCAACAACCAAAACCCCCAGATTTGTAGTTTAGTGTGATAAAGTGAGTATGTTTACCCAAGTATGGTTTTGAGGTATTTGCACTCGAGTCTATTCTCTGCTACTTCGTACTTCACTACATTTCAAAGGCAAATCTAGTACTTTTTACTGCGCTACACCTATATGACAACTTTGGTTACATTTCACAGACATATGAATAAAACAAAACGGTATAATTATAAGACTTTTTGATCCCTAGTGGAAGATTCACAAGCTGCCCAGCAGCTCCACCTTCACCAGCTGTGACATCAAAGTAGTTGCAATAATGCATCAAATACAATCCAGTTATGTACCTTCATGTTAAATGTGCACATTCTGCATAATGTGTACACTGTTTTGCTACTTTAATTATATTTTGATGCCAATACGTTTAGGTAACATTTTGAAAGCAGGACTTTTGCTTGTATTTTACATGATGGTATTGCTACGTTCACTAACAGTCGAAGTGCTTCTTCCACCACTGGTATAACACAAAATTGGGAATCTAGCAAATATACTTTTATTTAAGTGTCAGTGAATTTAAAGTTAATTATTAGAATTGTGGCTATTAATTTATCATTTATCAGCTAACTCACCAATTCAGACAACTCTAGCTGAGCTAGTTTCTGGGTCCCTGAAGAAATCACGAAACCACCATGAACAATGGTTTATGCTTGACCCCGCTTGACCCCCTACCAGGACCATTTGCGTGACATTGTGTAGGGAATCGCTGACTTGAGGCTTTTCAGAGAGTCAGTCAGTTACACATTTAAATACTTTCAGGACTTTAAAGTGAAAAATGTAAAAAGCAACCAACCAGCTCAGCATTTGTTGGGGGTAAAAAAACAATATAATATATTTCTGTCACATGTTGTATATCATTTATTTACAAGAGGATTCTACCAAAGGCTGAGAAAACAATTGTCTCTGTTTACAGAAACTCTGAAAGTCACAAACAGGCTTATTGACCCGTTTACATGTTTACAGTGACTCTGAACAAATAAACCCGCAGTCTTGGTCATCATGTCAGTCTGGGGGCCAGCTCAATGCTGTTGATCCTCAGCACCGTCTGCGGCTGGATGATGATCCTCTTGCGCTGGAACCGGTGTCTCTTCCAGAACCTCATGTGGACTTTGGGCCAGGACTCAGTCTTTTCGATCACGGTGGCCTCGACCCGGACCAGTTCCTTTCCCAGCAGGGGCCTGCCGATCAGGGTGAAGTCCTCCGCCCCGACCAGAAGCACCTTCTCAATCCGGATCCGCTCCCCGCACTCCGCCTCGATGTGGTTCTCTATCAGGATCAGGTCTTCGTCGGTGACCTTCCACTGACGCCCAGCGAAGTGCACCACAGCGAACAGGCGGCCGAACTCCTGCCGATGGATCCGCTGGTTCACGGTGCTCACCACCGCGGCATGTCGGGTCCGCCCCCCCTGATCGGCTGCTGTGACCGCGGCGGCCTGGACAAGGAGGTGCAGGGCACCAGGTCCCCGCTCACGGAGCTCTGTGAACGGACAGCAGCGAGGGCCGGGAGAGAATGTCTCGGTAACAACATGCAGCATGTCCTCCACAGTCCTACACAGCTTCTGCTCACCGCCATCTTGACCGGGAAAAGTCTACGCATGCGTCACATTCTTCTTCTTCTGTTGCTTAATGCGTCACATTCTCCCTTTTCTTCTTCTTTGCTAAATAAATATCACATAAACGTATTCAACAATTATTCACCGTAATATTTTGAATTATGACCTAATCCGAAACAGGGAAGTGACTTAAGAAAATGTGCTGTTTAATATTCATGTAAACATGAGTCAGTTATTTATCTAAGATGTAAAATACCACATTCAGCCAAAAACTAAGGCGTTTTTATAGTTAGTGTGTGACAGAGGTAAGGTAATGCATTTGTCTAAGTAATGCGAAGGTTTTATTAGAAAAGTAAAAGAAAATATCTGCATTCCCAGTGTCCATATTGGAAACAAGTTTCATTGTTAAATATCCTACTTTTCTAGAATCTTTCCACATTTGTGCATTTCATCTTATTTTACTTCCCATTTATTAGTATTTGATATTTGATTTTGTCAGTATCTGTGGTGATTATGTTCACTTGTATTGTAATGAATTCAAGTCATGGCCTACAGATGCCTGTCTGATTATGAGACATGTCACAGATTTGTAAAAGTCCCCCCTCCATCCTACATACTGTATGAGTGATGTTGTCTTTTATAGTGTTTTATTGTTTAGCATCTTTTAACACTCATTGTTTTAAATTTCACTATTGATTGTCTTTTTTTTCTTTACCTTATGCCCGTGTTTTCATTTAGCCCAACACTTTCATATATTAGCCTTTTTTGTATGCTTTTCTTGTGTGTTGTTTCTGAGTGTGTAGACAATAAAGCTTATTTTATATCTCTCTGTTGTGATAGCATTTTGTGTCTGGTCATTTTGCATCTCTTTGCATTTGTTTTGTGTTGCCTTGTGGATGTTTTGCATCCCTGTGTGGCTGTTTTGACTGTTTTTGTGACCATTTTGCATCTGTTAGTGGTTTTGTGTGTTGAGGTTCTCTTTAGGAGTGACCAGGATGGACAGGATTAGGAATGAGCACATCAGGGGAACAGCTCAGGTCAGCTGTTTAGGGGACAAGGTCAGAGAGGCCAGATTGAGATGGTTTGGACATGTGCAGAGGAGGGATAGTGGTTACAGGTATGTGCCAAAAAATTAGAATATCGAGGAAAAGTCCATTTATTTCAATAATTTGTTTCAAAAAGTGAAACTTGTATGTTATATTAGTTCACTGCACACAAAGTGAAATATTTCAAGCCTTTATTTGTTTCAATTTTGATGATTATGGATTAAAGACAAAAAAAAAACAAACCCAAATCCAGTATTTCACAAAATTAGAATATCATGACAAAGTTCAACATTGTAGGCTCCCTGTGTCCCAATCTAGTCAGCTAATTAATGCAAAACACCTGCAAAGGTTTCCTCAGCCTTGAAATTGTCTCAGTCTGGCTTAGTAGGCTTCAGAATCATGGGGAAGACTGCTGACTTGACGGTTGTGCAGACGACCGCACCCCCCATAAGGAGGAAAAGTCTCAAAAGGCAATTGCAAAAGAAGCTGGTTGCTCACAGAGCGCAGTATCAAAGTATATTAACAGAGTCGTCAAGCCACTCCTGAACCAAAAACAACGTCAGAAGCGTCTGTGCTTGGCTAAGGAGAAACAGTACTGGTCTATTGCCCAGTGGTCCCAAGTCCTGTTTTCAGATGAAAGCATATTCTGCATTTCATTTGGAAATCAAGGTCCCAGAGTCTGGAGGAAGACCGGAGAGGCACAAAAGTCAAGCTGCTTAAAGTCCAGTGTGAAGTTTCCACAGTCAGTGATGGTTTGGGGAGCCATGTCATCTGCTGGTGTGGATCCATTGTCTTTTATCAAGTCCACAGTCAACGCAGCTGTCTACCAGGAAATTTTAGAGCACTTCATGCTTCCCGCTGCCGAGCTGAAGATTTTATTTTCCAGCAGGATTTGGCACCTGCCCACACAGCCAAAATTACCAGTACCTGGTTTAATAGCCATGGAATAACTGTACTTGATTGGCCGGCAAACTCACCTGACTTAAACCCCATTGAAAATCTATGGGGTATTGTCAAGAGGAAGATGAGGGAACACAGACCCCGAAATGCAGACAAGCTGAAGGCCAATCAAAGCAACTTGGGCTACCATAACACCTCAACTGTGTGAAAGGCTGATTGCCTCCATGCCACACTGCCTGGATGCAGTAATTAGTGCAAAAGGAGGCCCAACAAAGTACTGAGGACATAATACAGTACATTAACACACTTTTCAGAAGGCCAACATGTGTTTAAGATCCTTTTTTTTATTGGATGTTGGAGATGGAGCTGCCAGGCAAGAGGTCAAGAGGAAGGCCAAAGAGGAGATATATGAATGTGCTAAAAAAGGACATGAAGATAATTAGGGTAAGAGTAGAGGATGCTGAGGATAGAGTTAGGTGGAAACAGATGATTCGCTGTGGCGACCCCTAACAGGAACAGTCGAATGAAGAAGAAGTAGTTTTTGTGTGTGTTTGTGATCATTTGGCATTTATTTGTAGTTGTTTTCTATGTCTGCTGGTGTTTCACGTCTCCTTGTGGTTTTGCAGGCTATCTTTTGCTTTTTCCCTTTCAGTGACATTTTGCAGTTGAAACCCATTGGCTTCCTCTGCATTGGGAATGGGAAATGGGAAGACAATGGGAAGTTACAGGTCTTTCCATTGTGTTTCCCTGACCCCTTCAGCAATCAATGTATGCACGTTTTAGCTTCTAAACCAAATAAAATCGGAGAAAAGGTAAGTTTGGACAACTTTAAAATATCCGGGTTTTATCATTACAATATATGGACTTGTAGTTTGGAAAGCGGAAGTTACAGAAGCACTTGAACGCAGCACTGCATCCATTTTGTGCCCCCGTTTCCGTGTTTCTGACGACAAACCGATAAAACTGTGTCAGCGGGGACAATGGCTCTGTTTGTAGGTCAGGAGTGCGGGTAAACTTTTCTGTAGCTACCTAAGACTTTTAAACCCGTCCGGCATTTCGTCTTATGCGGGGAATTATTTCAGAAACCTCTTGTTGGCAGAGTTTACGGGCAGCCGGACTGCGCTGACACTGACATCTGGAAAGTAAACAGCTCGATGCTAACGACTAACTGCGGCTAGCTCCGCCGACTCTAGCCGAACAGCTAACCCATCGACAGCTAGCTAACGTTAGCCGGCTAACCCGTGAGTGGTTTTATTGGCGTTAAGTTACATCACCATCTTAACCTATATTTTTGTCAAACTGCTTCGCACGAAGGATTGCCACAACCATTCATGTTGGTTTGGAGGACGAGACTATCAAACCTCCACTTCTTCGAGCCAGGGTAAGTTAAATCTCAAAGTGTTAAAGCTAACTTTACTCCACCTATGTTTAAGCTATCGCCAGGTGTGTTTGTGTCAGGGAAGTGTACCTGGGAGCGGCTGTAGCAGCTACACAACCTGCCCAGGCCTGTGAAATCCTGTTTCACTTCACACACTTTATGTCTGTTTGTGCTGGCTGGAGACTCCTACATTTGTCACAACATGTAGTGGATGAAGAATTTAGACACTTTTACTTGCAGACTTTAAACTGCAGACTTTGGAAACACTGCAAGTAAAAGTACTGCGTACACAAGTATTATCAGGGAAATGCACTTAAAATATCAAACATGAAGGCTTATTAATGTACAGAAATTGTACCCGTGACAGTTATACACAATCCTTGATCGTTTTGTCTATGAAATGTCAAAACTATGAGAAATGCTTATGATCTCCCACAGACCAAGGTAACATTTCCACCGTTTTGTCTGATCAACAGTCCAAAAACCAAAGGTGCTCACTTTACTATAATGTAGGACAAAGTCCTACATCCTAAAAATGTGGTTAACAACAGCAAACATGTGACCTTTCACATACTAAATGACAAATATTTGATTGTTCAAATAGTTGTAGATTCATTTTCTGTTGATCCAATAATAGATACTAATCTTACAGCTCTGAATTATATTTAAATTATTATTATTATTATCCTACATTAATATTTAAGCAGCATTTAGGAGCTAACCAGCTCCATCTCTTCTGATGCCAAATGCTTCTTAAATATGGATTTGGGGTCATAATAATTGCCTGAAATTAATGATTATTGTTATTGTGAATCTTTGATTGTTTTCATCATCAATCACTAACTGTATTGATCACCATTTATCACCATTTTCCTCTGAGGAAAATGGTGATAAATGCACCACACTCACCCAGAGCTTGAATTCAGTCTTCAGATATTTTTTGTCTGAGCAGCAAAAGCTCAAAGTTTAGTTTGTTCTAATTTATGTTGAGAGAAAAACCTCAAATTTTCAGATTTGAGAAACAGAAACCATAAAATATTTGGATGGTTTGGGATGAAAATAGACTTAATTGAATGCTGACTATTTTCTGGTAATTAGACGATCAACTGATCATCATATTTAAGGTGCTGAACCAGGTCAACTATTTTGATAGGCTGTCATTTTTCAAGCCAAAATGCCAAACATTTGATGGTTTCAGCTTCTCAAATGTGAGAACTTTTAGGTTTTGGACCATTGGTCAAACAAAACAGGACATTAAATAATTATACCTGCAGCTGCAGAATGTCGCTATGGGAATTTACCACTGTTTTTGATATTTTATTGACCCAACAATTATTCCATTAATTGAGAAAATAACCTGCACATTAATCAGTGATCAAAAGTATCATTAGTTGCATTTGAATGTGTTTTTTTGTTGGGTAGTTTTATAGCACCTCATATTTTAACCATACTTAAGAGTTTGAAAGGTTTTAATGCTGCGTCCCAATGAGCTGCTTCAGACCGTCTGACTTTTCCAGTGTTGAATTCTGTGGACAAATACTGAAACTGAACCAGAACACAGATAACTGGAGGCCGAGTGTAAGACTTCAGGCGTGTCTTTGCAGCCCTGTGATATGACACGATATAACCTGTACCACTATCAACACTGCATCATATGACAGCTATCATGCATGCTGATAGGTTTTCAGTTTAATAAATAACAGTGAGCCCGAAGTCTGAGTTGACAGACACTCAGAGTGCAGTAAAGTTTAACATTTCACCCTGAACAACTGTGTTAATGTTACAAAGATCAGGAGACTAACACAAGCAGTACATCTGACATTACAGCGGCAGCGACGTTAACTTCACACTAATTCTAGGTTAACTTGGCTAACTCATACAGGCTGTCTTGTCTGGCTGAGGTTTCAGGTTGGCTGTGGTCGTCCCGCTGTCTGTTATCTTTTTCCTCAGGAGGCAGCTTTTCTGTTAAGCTTGAGGGTTTTGAAATTCTTAAATCCACAGGCTCCTGAATAATAGCATGGATCCTGTCACTAGCACAGCCTGATGTGCATGTTAGGAGCATGGACTATATATAAAAATGGACAGTAGCGACCAGGAGTTGTGGTATCAGACTGCCAATCAAAGCTGAGTGTTGTTTGAAACACACCCACTTTTATATTATCAAGTAACTTATTCCAAACTAACTTATCAGGAAAGTCACCGCCTGTAAACAAATTATCATGATAATATCTACTTAAAATGACAAATCACCTTTGGGGAAAAATAAAAAATTTAAATCATTCATGCTAACAAGGAGGGTGTGGGGTTTATGACCCATGCTGCCACCAGCCACCAGGGGGCAATCGACTTGTGATGGCATCACCTCTGGGTGCTGTCAGGCTGTCCACCTTGATTAATATTAAATGTTTGTTAATAGTAAATTTGGTCTTTTCAGCCATCCGACACGAGCACTGAGATCTTGTGGCAGTTTTATTTTTTTATTATATTTATGAATTAATTAAGTAAATTATCAGCAGACTGTTCAACAATAAAGATTTTTATTTGTTTCAGCCCTGATTGAAATGACACAAGTGGGTACAACCAGTGATTTTTATGTTTGTGAAATTTAAGCATAGTGACATTAGTGACTTATCTAATTTTTTCATTTAATTATGTACTGTATGATAGATTTTTTTTTTTTTTTTTTTTTAAATGGTTAAAAATGTTCTATAGGAGCTGGTATCTATATCCAGCTCTTTGAAACCATAGACCTACATCAGGCTCTGTCGCCTTTATTGGTTCACTGAAGACCGAGCTCATGCTGCAGGGACTGATGCACCTCGGGCAGACTTAACTCCAAGTGTTCTCCATCAAGAGACTTTATTTTTATTTTTGTTCTTCTAGAGGCACTCATGCTTCCATCTGTTCGTGGTTTTACAGAACACTGTGTCAGCAGAAGACCCGTTTTTGTTTCAGAATAAAAGAACTGACACGCCAATGTCAGCGGTGGTTTTCATAATCATTAATCTATGTAGTCTGTGAGATGTGATGGAAAACTCCCTCCAGCTGTTAGCACAGTCCACACTGATACTCGATTGTTTATGTTGCAAGTCAAATTGTGTTCAGCTCATGAGGTAGGGCAGTCGTCTCCTGACCAGCAAGTTGGTGGTTCGACTCCCGGTCTCCCCGCATGCCTAAGTGTCCCTGAGCAATACACTGAACCCCGAATTGCTCCCGGTGGCTTGACTAGCGCCGGTGCATGGCAGCCTGTCGTCATCTGTGTGTGAATGTTGTGTGTGAATGGGTGAATGGTGTATGATCTTCTGTAAAGCTCTTTGGCCAGTGCAACACACTGTGAGAAAGCGCTATATAAAATACAGTCCATTTACCATTTTACCATTTAACCAGAGAAAAACATAATTTTAATGCTACCAAAGCTGAAACAAGGAGGTCTTTGGTGTTTTCCTAATAAATGACTTAGAGGATCAGAAGATTCATTAGATTTGTCTTTTATTAATTTGAATTTTCTGCTCACAGATTAAGCAGTTAATTAACTAATTATTATGGCTGTGATTTACATCCAGAGTGATTTTAAAACCAAGCTGTAAAATATTTTTTCAACTTAAAAATGTGAGTGAAAGCGGCTGCCTTAAGATTTTACATCAAGACCTAAACCATAATTCATTCTTCTAAAATGACAAAACGTCTTCTTTAAACACTGTACTTTGTGTAAATGCTTTTCTCAGTTTGGTTGATCTAGATTTGCCAATTTATTTACCTGGTTTGTTTTGTAACCCTCTGTCTTGTTTGTTCAATGGGGAATTGTTGGTTTATTATATATATATATTTATGACTTATACGTCTATTTTAACATAACAAATGTGACCTGCTGTTTAAAGTTCATCTCGGTTATAATGCTTCAGAAAATGAGCCACAGTTCCTCATATATGATGGACTTCGCTCTGTTAGGGCCAGTTTTCCCCAGTCGGTACAAAGGCGTCATGTTAAGTTGTATATGTTTTGTTTCTACTCTGCTAACGTGGGTTTATCACTCAATTCAAACAGAATGTTGTTCAAATTGCTGTTAGATAATTATAGGGATATTTAATTAGTGGAATAACAACAGGCTTGATGCAGTCATTAAACCCAGGCTCACTTTGTCTTTGGCTCCAGCCTCGTGCACTCAGCAGATTTTGAAATATTTTTTTAACCCCCCTCTCTTAGTTGTTTCTGCCGCTGTGTCTTTCTCTTTAAACCACATCAGCGAGTGGCTGGAGAGCTTGCTCGGTCAGATTCCTTTGGTTTCCATTGGTGAAAACCTGTCCTGACACTCAGCCAGGTAGCCTGAGGAGTGGAGCGGCGGAGGGTGGGGGTGGGGTGCACTACCAGCACAGCCTGCATGAGCTAACAATGGACAGCTAACTGGTTTGGGTAGATCCAGTGACCTCAGTCAGTCATTGACACATTTAGAGCAGTTTTAGGTATGTTCACAGCTAGTGAGTCTGTCAGGCCAGACCACACAGCAGAAGCTCCACGGGGCAGTTCAGGAAGCCACGGCGAAAGGCCATGATACTCGTCCTACAAACACTCCCGCTGGCCGGCCTGTTACTGTGCTGGGCCAGGAAGCCAACAAGGACAACCCCTCTGAACTAAAACGCTGCTAAATCAGAAAAGGGTGTGTTCACCTCAGGGCTGCCACTACCACATGGTCATCACTGATCAGTCTGTCGGTTATTTTCTTAACCAGTCGATTAGTTGTTAGGTCTTTAAAATATCAGAAAATGTTTCCCCCAGAGTCAGAAGTGACTTCAGGTGTCTTCTCACCCGTTGTCTGAAAGCTAAAGATCTTCAGTTTGCAATAGAAAAAATAAAAACAAAATTCTTAAATTTGACAAATACGAAATGAGCACATTTGGACTTTTTGGAAAACAGTATTTTGTTAGTTGCTGAGATGTTGGTTCATTTCTGTTTGATGATCGTGAACTTGCTGAGATGCTTCTCATTACACGGCACTGATGTTTCCCTGGAGCTGCTTTAGCTACTGCTCACCTTCACCACGAACGTCTTTAAAGCAAAATGGGACGGCGTTTTGTTTCTTCTGGGAGGAGCAGAATGAAACTTGTTGGCATCTGGACTGTCTTCTTGTTTTTTCTCTTTAAAACTAACCACTCCCAGTGGTCGCCTGTTGTGTCCCACAAACAGTTTCTTCACCATAAAACCATAATATTTTAAAAAGGAGTAATCGTCATGCCGGGATGCAGCTCAGTGGGTTTCGTTATCCACATTGTGTAACAGTAAGATAGTGATAGGAAGACACAAAACTAATGAAAATAAAATGTATAATAGTTGATTAAAATTTGTAAACAAACTCACAATGCGGTTTGTGAAACAAACATTTTTTAAAAATTATTTAATCTTTTAATCACCCATGTCATTCGTTTTCTCATGAGCTTAGGTCTCGTCTTATCTCCTGTGAATCATCCTGGGCACAGTAAAAAGGGACAGACAGACAGATATGCTCATACTTGTGCTTTGTGGCCAGGAAGAAAAAATAAAAGCACTTTAATAGTGTACAGCACAATAAAGCTCTTTATTTTGGTTGTTGTCAGTGGAGTGACACTACAACAGGCAGAGGAATAACCGCACTTAGTGAGAGAAAACAAACGTATTCAAAAGTTTTATTTTACATACTCTGACTTCTGAAAGTATTCAGACCCCTTCACCTTTTGCCCACTTAATCGGTGCAGTTTTAATTTGCCCATTTATAACATAACTGATAATGATGGATTGGGGAATATGTTGCATCTCTCTCCTGGATTTTGTGCCTCGTTCACGCCTGTATTAAAGTTCATCCTGCTCAGCTCGGTGAGACGCACTAACAGTGCTCACCCCCCTCGAGGTTAGAGGGTTTAGTGTTCCACTTTGCTCAGTGATCAAACACCTGGAATTGTGTGACAGTATAACTGGGCCTTGGGTAGAAAAGCTGCACACCTCTCTAACCTTGCACCAGTTGGGATTTGCAGTTTAAATATCTGCTCAGCAGCCACCACCTCCTCATTTGACTGAGCTGCAGCTGTTGAGACCCTCTTAGGTAAGTGCTTGTGTGTTGGGTCTTCCTTTGATTTGTCACGTCCGTTCCCGTCCTGTGATCTGAGGTTATGATCGGAGGATGAGCTCTGTGAAATAAGTGTACTAAGATAAATGAGACGTGTTTGTGGTGTTGTTTTCCAGGAGTCAGTGTGTGTCGTCCCAGCTGAGACGGTGAAGGCACCGGTCCTTACCCCTCACGTAGAGGTGCCAACAGAGGGACAGGATGCCGATTCCTCCCCCTCCGCCTCCTCCCCCAGGACCCCCACCTCCCCCCACCTTCAGTCAGGTCAGTGACCAGGCTGAACACACACAGCACATCACACTCCAACGGTTATCAGTCAGCCACAGACATGGGAGACATGCACTGTTCAGAAATCAGTGACAAAACAGTTCAGTTCTTATAGGAACTGAGGCATGGCGTTCACGGTGGGACAGTTTGGGACATCGCACGTGAAAATGAGGAGTCATCCTACCCATTATTTCAGATCAGAAACTCATTTATCTAGAACTTTCTGTAAATGATAAATGGTCTTATATAGTGTTTTGATGCAAGGAAGCACACTCACACTGTTGAACCCTGGTTCCTATTGGGTACGTCTGCTTGGTCTACTGGAAAAGCCCTGCACGAAATCAAAATGCATTTACAGAGTTTTAGTAGTTTAAAAGCTTTTGAGGTTGGAGATTTGGTATTGTGCAAAGTTACAGGCGAGAAGCTTCCTGTTTTTCACTCATAGATGTTTATTTTTTTTAAGCTACTCTACCTAGTGTCTTTTCAGCTGACACCATGAACCCCTCCTATCATGTCTTGTTTTCTAAGCTGAGAAGTTGCTGGAGTTTTTACCTCTTGGAAACAAGTTTCCCTTAAAATGTAAAGATATTAGCTGTTGGAAACAATGCATATTAACAGTGTGTTAGCACCACAGGACTTGAACACAACTACCAGGAGACAGCAGTGCACAGTCACTTATAGAAATGTGTTTGGTTCCTTTAGCAAGGGGAAACTCAAATATTTCCTGTAAGAAATCTGAAGTACAGTTGCTTATTCTTGGAAAACTGAGCTTAAGAAGATGAGGCCAAAGATGGTTGTTTCTTTGTTTGTGTACTTCTCTTGCATGAACATCACAAAAGGGTAATTACAGAAAGATGTGCAGTTTCAAGTGTCCACATCCGCTAAGGTCCACAGATCTTACAGGATCATACGTTACCAAAGGCTGTCCAGTCAGTCAGTCAGCTGTTGAGTCATGTGACTTTTGTTTACAAGCTGTGGCTCTCCCAAGTGTGTAGCGTGAACCTAAACAAACCAAGTCGACAAACTCTGAACGGCGGTGCAGGCCAGAGGAGCTGGAGATGTGATCACATATTTAAATTCTTCCACAGGCGAACACGGCTCCTCCCAAACTGAGATCATCTGAGGCTAAAGGCAGAGGAGCGCTGCTGTCGGACATATGCAAAGGCGCCAGGCTGAAGAAGGTCGCCGTGGTCAGCGACCGGAGTGCGCCCATTCTGGAGAGTGAGTCGCAGAAAGTTCATTTTATACATGCACACAGACATAAAACCTGAACTGGTGTGAACAGTGAGCTCATTAAAAATGGCCACATACTGCAAGAATTCTGTTTCAGATTTAAAGGACAAATACACCCTAAACTACTTCTCTCTTTTTTTAAACTCTATAGCTGATTACAAGGAGTTTTGTTTTGTGTTCACATTGTGACGACGATATTTAGTCATAATTTTCGTTGACGAAAGCAGCACTACTGGTCGTGTTCTATGTGACCCCTGACCCCCACATCACAAAGTATATAGCCACACGGCCTCCTTCTTGTTGGTCCCTCACTCATCTGTGCCTCTAGCAGAATGTGAGGCTGTTGTTACCCTTTAAATATATCCAAAACTACAGGAATGATGTTCCAGGCTTCCAGTAGTCAGTCACGGCTGAAGTACTGAAATCATCAGATTGAATTTTGAATTAAAGACGTATTGAAGTTGTTTTCTCTCCTGTGCAGGCGTCTCCCTCCCACCTCTCATGATGAGTTAGTCTTGTGCTCTCTGTATATTTGAATATTAAAATGTGTTCCTTGTTCTGCTTTTGTATGTGTATATTCACATTCGTTTATTTCCCCAGAATCAGGGGGTGGAGGTGGAGGTGGTGGAGGTGGTGGTGGCGGCGGCGGCGGAGGGCCAGTGGGAATGGCAGGCCTTTTTCAAGGAGGTGTGCCAAAGTTACGCCCAATTGGAGGTATGACCTATTTGTGTGTGTTAAATTTATCATGATTTTGCATGATTTCTAGTGTGATGCTTCATATTTGGACACGATTGCAGGTGTTCTGTGAAGGCTGCACCATTTTTGTCTTTCTCTTTTGTGTAAAGAAATAATCTGGAAATGATGCCTGAAATAAAATCCACCTCTGGAGGAAGTGAGCTATGATCTTACATCAGTGTGTCAGTAGTTTATTCAGCAACAAGTGAACACAGACGATCTTAACTGCCTTCCTCCTGATCTTGTACTGTTACTTCTGTTCCCTGCAGCTTTCATGGCGATGCCGTGGTTAGATAAATAAACAGTTCACACAAGCCGTATCCACAGGGCATCAGTCAGCAGGGACGATTCTGAGCAGCACAGTCGTCTTCAGCTTGATAAACCTTTGTGTCCTTGTCCGTTTACAGACAGTCGTTCTCAGAGCAAAGGAGCGGGAGAGATGACCTAAGGATGAGAAGCAGGAACTGGCTTTTACATATGAAATATTAACAATCTGCACAGTTCAGATGCTGAACAATAACTGTGACCTTTGACCTCCTTACTACTGTTGGGGGAAGCGAAATGCTGAGGATGTAAAACAGACTATATTGATTTAGATTTTTTTATTAAGCATTTAGAATCAAATTTGCATTAACAAATGTGAGTCAAATAAAACCACGATGAAGCAATAGAGTTGAGCCTAGGACCCTGAATCATGTGCATTTTATTAGGTACACCTGGCGAGTCTAATCTAATCCAGCTGTTGTGGCCGTCAGGTTCAAACTGACACACAATTAATTTACCATGTTTGAAATTAGAATGAAAAACGACGGCCCTAGCTTCTGCCGTCCTCCATTCCAACTGTCTGTGGATCTCACTCACTGGCACTGAAAGGACTGAACAATCAATCCTGCTGCTCTGTTTTTAGCATTTTGCCCTTTTCTGGTGTGTTTTACCAGCTGCACTTGTCCAGAGCTTTGGACAGTATTCCAGATGTGATGAAACTGACTGTAGGATTCAGACTGAACAAAATGTTGGTCACATTTATGGACTGGTGTTTGGACAAAACAGCAGTTTCAGTTTGTTGGTTAGTCAGTAGGTTAACTGGTTTTAGGACAGTTGCTCCTCTAGCTGCAGCCTGACTCATACTGCTGGCTCCTAGTGAGAATTACAGCAAATTGATTTTATCAGTGATGTGTCTGAGATGTTAGCTGTGATGTACTGAACTCCTCCTCTGTCCTCCACCCAGATGGCTCAGCAGGTGGTTCAGTTGGCAGATCCGCACTGAGGCCTCCGGGATCCCGGCCCTCTGCCCCTCGACCCCCAACAGACCGCTCCAGCTCGCCCTCTCCGCCGGAGCAGCACCGCTCTCACCGCCCCTCGCTTCCTGACATCTCCCGCCCCCCCTCCAGCAACAGCAGCTCTTCCACAGGCAGCGGGATGAAGCACAGCAGCTCCGCTCCTCCCCCTCCTCCACCCTTCAACCGAGGTGGCCGTGGCAACGCTCCACCCACCCCCAACCAGAAAGTACTGGCCCCACCTTCCACATCTTCTTCTCAAAGCAGAGAGAAGCCCCTCCCACCGATGCCCAACAGAGACCCCGCCTCTTCCAGCTCCGGGAAGCCGTCTCTGTCTTCCAACAGACCAACAGGTGGCTCCTCTGCTCCCCCACCTCCCCCGCCGTACAGATCACACCTGATCATTTCTAATGGGCCGTCCCACGTAGATGGGGGCGGGGCTCCGGAGCTACCGCAGAGGCGCAACTCCCTGCACCAAAAACACACATCTGGACGCAGCCATGCTCCTCCACCTCCTCCTTCGCCATCTCCGTCCTCTCAGCAGGCCAACAGACCGCCACCACCCGCCAGAGAGCCGCCGGGGCGCAGAGCAGGTAAAACCCACGTGGGCTCAGGATGACTTTGGCTCACCTGTGCCAAGCACTACAATATGTAGCTACATCCATAAATGGTGCTTAAAACTGTGCTGTGCCAAAAGGAAGCTGTGTCAGCAGTGTCCAGAAGCACCGTCGAGGGGGAAGCATTGAGCAAATTACTGATTGGCACAAAAAGATGGTGAACTAAACACAGGCTGGGGCTGCCTTCCATTGTAATGCTCACAGGCTGACAAAAAATAAAATAGGAGCAAAGGTTACGACCAGAAGCGTCTCAGTCGACTGACTAATGACTCGACTGGTCGACTTCAGGGAGCAGCCCTGGTTGTTACTTTGCCTGAGTATTTAAATTTTCTGTTGCTTCATACTTGGACTTCACTTCATTTCACAGGCAGATATTGTACTTTTACTGCACTACATGTATTTGATAACGTGAGCTACTTTTCAGAATCAAATGACTAAAGCTAAATCCAGTTTAATCATTCGACTGTATTGATCCCCGGTGGGAAATTCATGAGCTACCAGCAGTGAGTCTGTCCCTTCTAAATTCAGTTGTCTCTCTGCAGTCTACATTGCGATCAGGACATAAAATCCCCCACCCAGTACTTAAACAGATGTAATTTTACATTGTGCTTTCAGCATCTCCGTCTTTATTTTGACACCAAGAATATGAATGTGTGACGACTCTGTCAATTTGCATTTGAACAGTCTCAGTGAAGAAAACGTTGGCCTCAGTTCTCAGCTGGAGGAATGTTCCTACACAAGCCGAAGCAAGTTTGGACTTGTTGTCTGAACCTCTGTAGTGCAGTGCACCCATCCAGCCCGCAGCAGCAGACTGTGCTGACCATGATACACCGAGCAGAGGCCTGCAGCAGGATTTATGTGGCTTTGTATTACAAATAACCAACATCCGAGCTGAGTGTCTGCACAGTGACTTAACACAATGCAGTGTCGTATCTTCTGTGATTTTCTGCTGCTTCTGTGTTTTGGGAAATCACTCTTTACCCACTGGATCAACAATACAGTATTTCAGCACATGCAGTGGGTATCCTGTCTGTCAGTGTGTGTGTTGGCAGTGTTGTGTAGATGCTGTGTGACTGATGACATGTTTAAGATGCCTTTACATTGTTCAGGTGTGTAACCCAAAATTTGGCTGTGGGTGTTGATGTGTAGAGAGAGCAGAGCAGAGAAGACGTCTACCGAGCGCCCTAGTTTTACAGAGTGAATCCTCTGTGTGTGGCTTTCAGATGGGTTTGAGTGAAGACACACAACAGGAAGGCGTCTGGTAGCTGGAGCTGTGTTTGGATTGATTCACTCGCCTCCTGGTTTCTCTGAATTCTTGAAACTCTGGAATATTCCAGCATTCCTCTTCACTTTGTCTGCCTCTGCTTTCATTGTTCCTGTTCTTCGCTCCTCTTCGTACTGTTCCTTTATTTTCTGATATTTAGTAATAAATATGAGCAGGATGACGATACTAGTGCAGTACAGCTGCCACAGTGTCTGCTGGAACTGGAAACGGTTTCACAAGCCACAGTTACCAAGTGATAAATGATTTTGTTCATGAAGCAAAACAAAATATTCTCAGGTCTCAGCTTCTTAAATGTGATGAACTGCTGCTTTTTTAACTGAATATCTTTGCTTTTTGAACTTGGTCGAACAGAATAAGACATTTGAAGACACACTGGGCTCTAGTAAGTTGTCATCAACATACTTTTACTATTTATTTATTTTATGGACAGTATACTGTCAAATGAAAAAGTAATATACAGATTAATTGATAAAGGAAGTCGCTGTTGGTTGTAGTGTCACACATAAAACAGTCGCTGATCACTGTTTCCTTCCACGTGGTACAATACACTGTTGTTGAGGTTATGTTATATGGTTGTAAGACGTTATATCAGCTACGTTTGTGAACAGGGACCGTTTTAAAATGTACTTTATGGCGTATTCATGAACACTACATCATCCAAGAATTGAGAGTCAGGAATTAAAGCTATGGTTGTAGAGAATCCAATATGGATGGAGAGGTCAGAAGCAAGAGGGTTTTCTGAGGAAAAGTAGTTGGTGCAGTAAAAGTAAGGCTGCTGATAGAGAAGTGATCCTTATCATCCTTGGATTAAATTATATCTGAGCTTCCTTGAATCAGACTCAGCTGGAGCTGCTGGAAATATCTGAACGTGACGTGATGTGAAGTCAACAAAGGGAAATATGCTAAACAACAAGAAGTCCAGACATTTAAGCTACATGATAATACCTGAGATTAAGGTCTTTATGGACACTGTCATGGGGGGGTGGGGGGGTGATACCCATTAAACTCTTTGGCCACAGCAGTTGTTCTCATTTCACTCTGTTATGTATTTGATGTAGAGGGAACCCTCAAACATGTCATCCTCATCATTTGTGTGTGTGTTGTTTGTGTAGCTCTCCAGGTGCCCCACTCCGGGTCTCGTAATGGCGGTCGGGACGCCCCTCCTCCCCCGCCCCCATATCGCATGAACACCTCTGCCCCGTCAGAGTCCCACAGCCGGGTGGGGAAGCCACCTCCTCCTTCCTCCTCCATCCTGACCTCTTCCTCCTCCTCCCGCACCCCGGCTGGACCCCCTCCACCGCCCCCACCCATCCGGAACGGTCACTCCTCCATCTCCTCCTCCAAGTCCTACCTAGGTGAGTTTCTCCATTAACGCGTCCTCCTAATGCAGAAACATTGTGTTTAACTTCTCACTTTCACTAAACCAGTGTGGTGTTTAGAATAGAGCAGGACTCTGCCCTGGGGTGTCGTCCGAAGCTGCCAAGTTAAAACAGTCAACCAATAAACTGCCAAGTTAAAACAGTCAACCAATAAACTGCCATTGACACCTAAACACCACGTGTTGGAACCATGACCGCGTGAAAAACTAGTCAGCAGGCAGAAAGACCCAGATAATCACCTCAAATGAATAACCAGCTGAATCATCCAGGTTCTGCTGCTCTGAGCCGAGGCAGCACAAATTCAATCATGACCATTGCTACTGATAAAACAAAGTAGGGGCCCGAACCACAGCGGGGTCACTTTCTTTTGTAGAGCACCTGAGATGCTCCTGCTGCCTCTTTTGTCATCTTTCTCTTAAGAGGTATTTTTACAGATTCAGTATTATAAATCAGGGGACTCGCAAGAGACACAAAGAAAAGTCAATCAAAGCTGCAGAAGTCGAGAGTTTATCTGAGTCAGTATCTCCCATCATGCAACTCACTAAGGTCTTTCCTAATGTTTCCATGTCGTGTTGTTTAAACTGTTCAGCTTCTGACTTGTAATGCTGAGTTGATGAGATCTGAGGTTTCTCAGATTAATCAAATCTTGTCACACACTTTGTTGATGTCGTAGTGTTCTTCACAGACTGTGGCCGCATATGCACGATTGCTTCTCGTTACGCCGCAGTGAATCCAGTGTTAACATTAATAGTTTATTTATTTTATAGGAGATAAAATGCGAGGTTAGCATTATTGGAATAATGCATCGACTCGTCCCAGTCGGAATAAAGGATGTTTTTCCATTCTACCCACGACATAAACTGTGGAAAGCTCCACCCAGAGCCACAGCAGACGAGTTTTCACAGGATGTGTCATAATGTTTGTGATGAGCTGGCTGGGATCTGGGCTGCTCTGTACTTTGACTTGTTTCCACTCTTCGGCACTTTGCATGTGAAGATCAAACAAACGAAGTGATGGTTTTAAAAGATACTGTGACTGTTGTTTTTGGTCTTTACAAACTAGTTTTATTTATAAATCTACCAGTTATTATGTCGATACAGTATCAGCCTCTCAATCGTCACAGCCTTGTAGATTTTTCTTTTTTCTCAGCCGTTGTTCAGTCCTCAGTCACAGGGTTGTAACATGGTTTTCTTTATAATCTAGTGTTCGTGTGATGAGGCGACAGAGATGGATAGTCAAATAATGTGGCCATGCAAATGAGCCTTTTGTTTCCTGTTGTACTGCAACAGATCAGGGCGGCAGGAACATTTCCTAGATCACTGTGTGAGGGTGACTCGCTGCATTTCTAGCCAGGAAGCACAGACAAGGCTGTCAGTGTCAGGACAGTGATATGTGGGTTGTTTCCTGTGATGTTAAATGACACCATCACTGTGGTATCGTGGTAGGATTTGTACCCTTTCTATGCAGTTTCCAACCTGTAGGACAGCGTGGTACTGTAGTAAAATACTGGTATGTATGCAGACAAGCTAGCTAAGGAGTTCTTTAGTAGTTGGTTGCCTCGGTAACTGCTGAAGGCAAGAAGTTCCCAAAACAGGAAGTGAAGATGGCGTCCTGTGTAGGCCCGTCAGTCATCGCCACACACGGCACCAAACGTAGGGCTGCAGCTGTTGACTTACATAACCAGATAATCTGTTAATTATTTTCTTGACAAATTGAATATTATTCAAGAGAGACTTATTTCAGTGGCTTGTTTTTAGTTGACAAACAGTTCAAAACCCAAAGATGCTCAGTTTCCTGTCATTTGACAAAAGCATCAAATCCTCCAATTTAAGAGGCTGCAGATCGTCAGGATTAGTTTCATTGACTAATCGATTGGTTGGTAAATCATTGCAGCTCTGGCTAAAACCAAATGTTGTCAGTAAGCAATCAAGAACAGAAAATGGCCTTTTTAGCATTAAATACTAAAATGTTTTAACAGTATTAAGTAATCAAAGACTCTTAGTGACTTTTAATGGTTAGTCCTCTCACTGAAACAGACGGGGGGGGGGGGGGGGAGAGTAAAAACCTTACAGTGGTCACATTGTTGTGTGTGTTTAAATTAGACTTGAGGTGTAACTTGGTGTATTTGTACATTTTAATTTGTTTCTTGTATTTTTTTTTATTCCCTCAGATGATTTTGAGTCAAAGTTCAACTTCCACCCCATTGAAGATCTTCCACCTCCAGGGGAGTACAGACATTTCAGCAAGGACTACCCCAGTAAAATCAATAAAGGTAAGAGTTCTTTGGTCCATTTCCATTTACAGCACTGGATAAACCTGATGTGGAGAAAATACTGTTTGCACTTTGTGAGAGGTTTGTCTTTTCCTTGTCCACACTGCTCACTGAGAACGCACTGGTGTCCAGGAGAAGCACAGACGTGAAGTGATGAAGGAACAGGGCGGAAGCAGAACAGAGGAGAAGAGAACGATCTTTGGTTCGATTCAGAGAGTGCTTTAACTATCTGCCAAGAAATCAGATCATGGTTCATTTAACCGATATCAGTTAGTTTACTGGGGACTTAAACCAAACAGATGAGGTCGTCCTTTAAGACGAAGCTGAATGTGAGCTGCTGATGTTTGTGTCAACGGCTGAAGCTTTATAAGCCAGTTTGTCCTACTTAAAGCCTTGTTGGGGCGACTTCAGCTCAGGGGTGGAGTGACCAGGTCATTCACCCTCCAGCTCTGTCCGCCATGTGCTGCACGTTCAGGTTACATGAGTAAACAGAGTACATGTTTACGTGTATCATATTTCTCCTCTTTGTCTGACCTTATTTTGGAAGCATGGCTCAGTGATTTGTATCAACAGAAGACGCTGCTTCTGACTTTTGATCTTTGTGTGTGTGTGTGTGCGCACAGTGAAAGTTTCCTCACAGCACAGCAGCGTATTAATTTCAGTCAGTGAAAACCTGTTAAATGAATCTTCTACCATCTGCTTTGTTGGTTTCCATTTTAAAATTACATTTAAATTACATTATTTTTCATGTCACAGCGGCCATGTTTGATTCGTTTCTATCTGTGCGTGTGTGTGTGTGTGTGTGTGTGTGTTTTCGTTCAGGAGTAACCCTTGTCTCCTCCCTCTGCCCTCAGTCATGGTCCGAGGAGCTCCTCCAGCGCCGCCGCCACTGGGGAGGTGAACAGACCTGAGCTCAGGACTTGAACTCTGCCGACTCGGTGGAGGGAGTGGTGAAGAAGCACTCGAATCACAGAACACACTACAACACAAGCACACAATACACACACGCAGATCTACACTAACACTAAAGCACCAGCTGGAAACTGTGCAAAGTAAACACTAGGACACCACGCAGGCTTG